CCAGCTACTGTTGCTCTTCCTGTGAATTTGCATACGCTTTTTGCACTTGTGAAGAACTAGGGCTTGAGTCAACGTATGTGCTACGCAGCCCTTTGAGGTCTTGAGAAAAAATGAGCCCAATAGCTAGCTACGGGGCGGTTGGAGGTGGTCGGCTAGCTGGTGGTCCAGCAGCCGGGACACTTGGAACTGGGACGACTGGCGCCAGCAAGCCAGCGACCAGCCACAAAACTCGGAGCCGACCCCCGCACTGATCCGTCCTCAGGCCGTCCTCAGAGATTAACACGGGACAGGAATACTTTTCGAGCGGAGTGCACGACAGGACTGACGAAAATGACGCTCGCGCAGTCGCTTGCACGCGCCCCAAACAAGACACGTCAAACAACCACCCCTGAGACACAAATCAGGACGGGGCACAGCAACGCAAACGCGCAGCCTTGCGTTAGGACTGCGCTTGCGCAGCGAAACAACAGTCGCAAAAGCTACGATTTGCGCAAGGGCGACACGAAAACACCATGTTGCAAGTCATACTAATCGCACATTCTGAGCCTTCCCCAACGGCACAGCTGGCAAACTCTTGCCGTAGCATCTGGCGAACACATGCTAACCCCCACCCCTGTAAGAGGGAAGATCATACTCTATCTGAGTGCTCCGATTATTCACGAAGGGCCTGGAGTCTTTTGAGCAATGGTTGTCGCAAAATCCTACGAGCCACTCGCCCTTTGGGAACAGCTTGGGTTATTTGGCAACAAATAGGGCTATGCTTGTGGTTCTTCTAACCAGTCCAACTGTTTTAGATGGTTGGATTATTCATGCGTCTGTGTTTGTATTTTTGTTGCCTGTCTCCTGTTTTTTGTTTGCTTGTGTGCTTTCTCATTTAACTTGCCTTGTTAACCATATGTGTCTTTATTCTTTTCATGGTGTTATCTGTGTATATTTGTTACTTTCAGAATTCGCTTTGTTTTTGACTGTTTGTGTTCTGCTTGACTTATCCAACGACAACAAAGCACAACATGCACACATTTCCAAAACCAAAAAAGTCCCAAGAAACTTGGAGGGAACATGCATTCATTTCGAGAATTTCGAAAGAACCACAAATCGCTCGCGAAGCCAACAACAAAAACAATAAATTTTAGAACAAATGGAGGAGGTTTTCCCACTGTTCCCCCTCACATTGAGCCAAATTGGTGGCAGGACATGTTGAAGGTACAAATTGAAGCTTACAACTGGGTGGGGATAAAACCTTAAAATGCCGAGGGCCGCCCAACGACAACAGCCAAAATGATTGTAGTTGTTTAAAGTCAATAAATTTAGAGGGAACATGTAGTGCCGCGAGAATTGGGAGACCACAAAACATGGCTCGCGAAACCTGCAAGCTGAAATGCGAGCAAAACCCAAAAGAAATAGTTCGCCAGGAATGCCTTGTATTGAGCAAACATGCCTGAAGAATATAAGGGATTCAAGCAGCAATGGGCAGGTCAACAACAAACGACTACCATAGACCCACGCCAAGCGCAGCCAATATGATGCGCACAAATGCTCAGCTGGCACACGCTCCACAACACACACAGGTCTGCCACACGATTAGCTCGCTCACCCAAGAGACTTCAGCGCTGCGCACACGCCTGCCACCTTTTGGGGGAGCTTTCTGGGTGTGAGATGAAAGTAAAATGAGGGTAGGTTTGAGGCAAGCTTAGGCGAGGCTTTGTGCAACCTGGTTCCGAAGAGGCCAACAAGCCTCCCCGCAAGACGACAGCAATGCCACCAAGCCAGAAGCAAAAGACGAAAAAACAGCCAAGAAGCAAGAAAAGCCAAAGCATTTGCAAAGCCAGGAAGCCAGATAATCCCTTTCTACTCCGATATCCAGGAACAATCCATCAAAAAAGCGGAACGTGCTGAACAAACGGATGGCTCAGACCTTGCCTGCTTCTCAGTGAGGCGCTTGTTGATAACATCTTCGCCAAAATTCATCAGGGCCTGCGTGAAGTCGGTGTGCTGTGCCATCATTTGCTTGCCTCGACATGGGTCGATGCGTAGCTTTCAGGGCGGGTAGTCGGAATGCCCTATGGGGCACAGGTTGTGGCAAGTGAGCCGAACACAACCGAGAGCTGAACTCTGCGCAAGCCTCCTTGCATTGCTACATACTCCCCGCAAATTGGCACCAACAAAACAAGCCGTTCCAAATTCAAAGCCGCTCATGGCTGAATTGGGTTGCAAAAGCCCATGCTTGACCTGGCAAACGTCCTTACGCCCCAATAAATGTAAGCTTTGCAGCAAGGATCTTGCGAGCCGGTCCAAGTTGCAGCCATTCCAGGACATGTCCTTGGGATCCCCTCGCTTTTTCGTTGGGATCGTCACGCGGTCGCTGGCGCACAGCAAGGTCTGCACAACTTGGAGGCATTCGATCGCTTTGTTTGGCCTCAAGCTTCGTGAGGGCACACCGACTGCTTCTTTCCCAATCCAGCCGTCTGAGTCAAAAAGCAACCAGGTGCGGTTCGGCCAGTTGTTGCAGGGTACTCTGGGGAAAAACAAGGGCTATGATTGGCAAGCTTCCCCAGATCTGCAATGGCCGGCCAGGCTTGGGATCATTACCTTTGACAAACTCATCCACTGACACATGATTCCAGGGGCCACGCGTGGTTCAGTTGCAAAGCCCGTCGGGCCCCGAATGCACTATATAACTTGTAACCAAACAAGTAACAGCCAGCAAGGTCTGGCGACCACACCTTGGGTCTGTCAACCACACTTGGCATGATCAGAACACATTCTTGGGCACGATGTCAAGCCTCAAAAGGCCCAAAACATAGTTGCGCAGCAATACCAGAAAACAAGGAGCCTAGACCGAACCCAGAACAAATAGGAACAGCAGCCACGCACACGAAGCCAATGTCGCCGAGCCACGGACGCATCCAGGCCTTCACCTCCATAGCGCAATTGGAATTGTGGTTTCCATTGATCACTTGTGTTTGTGACTTTGCCGAGGTTTCCCATCGAGAATGGCTTAAGAGGAAGAACTTTAAAAGGAAACCGCCATCTGGAGGGTTCCTCTGTCCTGACTGGCGTTGCAAATTGTTAAATACAGCACCATCAATCATATCAAAAATGGCTTGCTTGAACACCCGCATGTGAAAGCAACTGAAGCAAAATTCCCAAGAAAACTAAGGAACACATTTCCGCCCCAGGCCTTGCAAACCTAGGCCCTGCTAAACCTGCGAAGCATAGATCTCAAACCATGAAATCCTCGTTGTCCATCAAAAAATATTTTATAAACGCGTACCCCCACAAAAGGGCCCTGGCCATCTTTGGTGGGCACTGTCTGAGATTGTCTGAGAGCCTGGGCACGCTTTGGTGTCGGAAAAAACACCAGAGAAAAGGCGCATCACTATATTAGGGAGCTTCGCAAAACTACTTTCCACTAAAGTTTTTGCAGCCCAAGAGGCTTTACCAGGGCACTACTGAGCAATACGAAACCAATGCTAACGGAGAACGAAAGCAACAGGGTCGAAAAGGACCGAAGACTACTCAGGAGGGCCCCTTAAGGACGTTCACCTCGACTCTGCAGGTGCGCTCCCCTATGCTCAGAAGTGGCCCAAGAGGACTTGGAACAAGGAAATGATTGTGTGGGGCTTCCAAGCCTTGTTCCGCACAAAATATGTTGTTTGTGACCAAGTGACTCGAAACATAACGCGGTTGGAACCTCCACGCCGCATTTTTCCCAACGAGCAGAAGGGGCTGTCCAGGCATCAGCAGCACAACATGCCAGCGATATCCACGCCCGCGCCTCTGTGATGTCTCTCCTATTCAGCTCACGCACACTCTCCTCCACACGGGTGCGAAGCCACGGCAAGGAGCGCGCCACGATGTCAGGACTGCCCTCGTTGAGCCAAAGCCTTAGCTCGAAAAGCCAGGGGCTCAGGCAGTCAAAATGACCCGTGGCATTGCGCAAGAATCAAAGCTAAAGGAAACCTGCAATTCAGGCTGGCCCGAGTAGCTCTAGATCATTCAGGTCCCACCCTTCCTGAGACTTTGGGCAAACTCCCCACGCTCTGCATGCTGCACAACTTGTTGCACCGGTCGCCTGGACCACCACGCCAAACTGAGCAAGGCGGTACTAAAAACTCGAGACTTGTTGGCGGCGCCATGCGATGGCGCGGCTGAAGCCAGGCAGCCGCTGGCAAAGTGGAGGTACCCCAACTCCCTCAGCAATCTTCTCCTTCAACTGCGAGACGGTGTCCTGTCTGGATGGAAAAGACAGCCTTCTACTCAGCTCCATTTTGCAAGAAACTGCGTCAATGACCTGACATGCGCGCCTTGGCCAACGCAAGCCCGTCTGATGTGAACATCTCTGCCGTGTTTGCGGCTCAATTGGTCGCTGACAAACGCTGGCTTGCCTCAAGCCTCATGGGCTGGTGCATTGAAAAAGTGATGCTGACACGTCAGTCATCTTCTCGGTCCTCCAAAGGGGCCCTGTGCTCCAGAACTTCTCCATTAACCTTCACTGCTCACAGGGCTCTGGAAGAGGCATCAGAGCTAAGCAAGCAATGACAGTCAACAGCACCTTAGCTCGCCCCAAATGACTGCAAAATTGAGATGAAACACCTACTCTCAAGTCAGATGTTTATCTGAACAGTCTCTGAGCCTTGCGGATGGACAGCAGCATCTTCTATCAGCAGGCTTGGCACGCAAGAACTCGGGAAGTCTATTCAACTCGGGAAGTCTATTGTCTGCTCCAGTGTCAGTGCGGCTTGCCCTTCGGATATGTTGCAATGGCCGTAGTTTGCGATAAGTTGAGCACAGTCAGCCTGGACCGAAACTGCTGCAGAACTGGGAATGTGAATGTGCAGAAGCGTCTGGGCCCAAATTTGCTGTCTGCAACGGAGCTCAACTTGTTCAACCCAAAGCCAGCCATCATCAAACAAGAGAGGCAAAAGGAAACCAGGCTGCCTAATTTTAAGACAAGCCCATTTCCAGAACTTTCCTTTTCAACACTATGCGGGGAAGGCCTGCAGACAGAGCATCTCGGCACTGTGCTATCTCCTTGCTGAAGAGCCTTAGGCAACATATTCAAGTTGACTCGTCGTGCCCCCGTGCGTACCTACAACGTCTCTGAGGGATGTAAGAGTATAACTACCACACACCTGCAAGGCAAATTTAATGTCCGCGCTGCATGTTGCGAAGCACGCAAATCGGAAAAAGATCCTGCCAAACTCGACAACAAAGCAACCAGTCGCTTTGAAAATTTAGTCGTCGCCAGTTTGTTGGGGCATCAATACACCCAGCGAAGCCTCTTTGGTGACAAACCTCTGCTTCCTGCCGAGAGTCTCTGCTGCCAGCCGCCAATTGCCCAATGCTAGGGCATCATTGGCCATGGCATAACAGATTAGCAAAAACACGTGCTTCTCAACACATCCTGCATGGCTGCTCTCGGTGTAAGCTTGATGGGGGGATGCGCAGAGCAAGCGGGGCGAGCTGCTGGTCCTCCTAACGAATGCATGTGTTTGCTGTGCTGGCTGACTTGCCACTGGCGCTTCCTGAAACGCTTCCAGGGCCTCGGCCGCCTGCTTCAAGTGCTTGGGCTCCACTAGCTGTAGCCATGCAAACCAAAGACCAGAACTTGTTGTTTGCCCGCATGGCCATCTGAGTGCTCTACAACAAATCATGTGACCCGCATTGAGCCAAATGCTGACACCCGTCGCCCATATACCGTGATAAAACTGCAAACAAAATCAAATAAACTGGGTGCCTCAACAGTCAATGGTCAGCTGGCCAAATCGCATGTGTGCGACGGGATGTTCTGAAGGGTTTGAAAAACTTTCAAGTGAGTACATTTACATGCAACCCCTGCCGCATCCTGCTGTAAACTGGTTGGCACTCCCCCCTTAGCTCCCCCTTTAGAATAGCTTTTGCGGCACAATTCTTCCCAGGCAAATGCCTCGCCAACAAGACTTCAACAAGCCGAAGCGAAGAGGCTTGAGCAAGCGCCATCCACAAACCAGTGCCAAAAGCGAGCACAATGCATCCGCATTAGCTCTCCTTTGGATCGCCCAGGTCGGCATGGCGACGGTCGTCGAGGTTTTCGTTAGCAAGCTACGCAGGGTGGCTGTTCAGCATGCAAGAAGCCCGTGCAGCAACAAGGCTGCTGAATCGTTGACATCTTTGACATTGGACATGAGCGTCTACCTCAGCTTGCCTTGCATGCTCGCCAGTCTTTGCCCTCCGAAAGTGGCTCAGCGTCTGCTCGATCTTTAGATGCCGTTGGGGCAGGCAATGCGGTCCGCTGCCTGGGAGGAGCCACAAGGAATTCCGCTGACTGCTGACTGCTGATAGATGTTTGGTGACCTTCTCAGCGCCAAATCTTCAGAATTGTTGACGAACCCTGTGTTCGTGGAGGTTGCAGACTCAAGCTTTCCCGTTCTAAGCTGCTGGAATGGAGGCTGGCCTGGGAAACGAAACGCATCGGAGCTCATTGAAAGCCTCTGGAGGTCCCAGGGCTACATGACATTCCACAGCTCGATGCCTCCCGAAGAGCCCGTAGCCGAGAGCCGTAGTCACCTGACGGACTGCGCGCTGCCAAACTATGCTATCCCTTGCCCATGACATTCCCGAGTTTGCAGCGCGAAAGCAACAAGTCCTGCGCACCAAGCGGGCGGAAAGCCTGAGAAACTCCAAGACACACCGCATTTATCGATCCTTCAAAATGTGCAGCCTGTTTTGTCGCCAACATCTGATGGGAATCTCTGCGTGGGAGCTCCCCCCAGGCCTTCTGCGCTGCGGCCGCTGGTCTTTGCCTTGGCTGTCGACCGCTGCCGAAAACGCCCACGCCCTTATGCACACCAACTGCAATAGAACCGCCCGTCACGCGTCAGGCAGCACAGGGGTCCCCAAGAGCAACTCCTAAAGACTGAACTTAAGCAGTTAGCTAAGTGCAAACAGAGTCCCGCGCGGGGTGGGCCAAACAAACCTTCAGGTACTGCTGCATGGATTGTGCCCACTGCCCCACCGCCCCGCTGCCAATGAGTAGCAGCGGCATCTGTCATCCGCGGTGATGGCATGGAGCCATTCCTCAGTTCGCCATGAAAAGAGGTCCACAAGCACAGGCTGCTGCCAAAGTGAGCACACTTGCAAGCTCAAATCAGCCTCAAATTGCGACTCAGCCAAAATTAAACTGAAAATAGTTGGGTTCAACAACTTTTTCCCCAAAGCATGTGAGCGTGGGCGTGCGTGCGTGCGTGCGTGCGTGCGTGCGTGCGTGCGTGCGTGCGTGCGTGCGTGCGTGGGGTGGGTGGGTGGGTGTTTGTTTGCTTGTTTGTGTTTGTTTGTATGTGTGTTAGTGTTAGTTTAGTGTTAGTGTTTGTGTTAGTGTTAGTGTCAGTGTCAGTGTCGGTGGTAGTGTTAGTGTGTGTGTGTGCTTCTATTTGCATGCTCTTGTTTGTGTTTGTGTGCTTTTGTGTTTGGGTTCGTGTGTTTATGTGTTATGTTCGGGTGTGTCTCTTTTGTCTTCGTGTCTTTGTGCTTGTGTGCTTTTGTGCTTTGTTGGGGGGAGGGGATGTGGAGTGAGTGCAAAAATCAAAAGCTGCAGGCAAGGTGCTGCCGGGGACTGGGCAACTGATGCCACATCTGCCTGGCAAGGAGCTACCCCGCTCCCTGGCATTCTGTTTGAGCTTGTGCTTCCTTAGGGTCTGAGGTTTCAAGTGCCCTTCTCTTAGCCCTGATGCCGGAGTGGCCATGTGCCATTTCGGTGGCTTCCACAAAGAAGCCAGCGCGAGAGACATGATTGGGCCAAATTCTGACGCAGCCACATATGGTTTGCAGTGTTTGTGCCTGCGGATTTGGTCTTGGTTTGTCGCTTGCGGAAACCTCACGCTGCTTCTTGTGGGCCTTCTTCTGAGGATGATCCTCGTGAGGCGTGTGCCAAACATGATGCCACCCTCCAACCAGACTCCATTTGCTGGTTACCCCAGAGCGTCATGCATTTGTCCGATGTTACAAGCCCCTGGCTTCTTACAAAAACATGGAACACCGAGAACATATAGACTATTATTCAATACATGCTCGCGAGCAGATACCAAATGATTGAATTGGTTGGGCGTGTCTGTTTTTGGGGTCCCTCTTTTCGGGTTCATTCGAAGGGGACCAAAGGGAAGCAACTCATGTTGGGAGTTCCAACTCCGATTCTGAGACAACCCCAGCAAACAAACACAATATGAGGCCGGTTTGGGAACACCCCGTGACGAAACCCGCACGAATCACAGGCATCAGAGCGCGCCTGCAATGGCGCGCGAGGCGCTGCAGCGTCTCCCCCTCTGTCAGACTCTGCAGCTCTGAGGCGCCCCGCTCCTGTGGATGGAGCCTCCCTCACCAGTGGCATCCGGTGAGCGTTTGACTCACAAAATACTTAGGTGTTCTTGCTCTTGTGGCTTCTAGGGCCAAGGTCACCCAGTTCCCGTTGTCCAGCCTTCCAAACAAGATGCACCTCCAGCCAAACCAGGTCGGGAGGACAAATTTGCAGGGAAAGGAAACAAGAGTTGAGTGAATCGAGGGATGTCGTGGGCTGGATTTCCTGGACACCACCTTATACACCGGGAAAACAATTGCCCACAGGCGGACGGAACACCCAGGCCCCACCCCAGTAGTTGGATGGAAGAAACCCGTCACCACGTTCATTGCAAAAAAACAGATGAGAAGGGTGGCACCTTGCCTGCGGCCGCGTGTTCTTTCTCACATCTGCCTTGCTCGCGCCCGCTCCCGGAGCGGTACCGCTGGCAATTTGACAGACTCAGCGAGCCCTGTGCGAAGGATGTAGGCGCGTAGCGTCGGACGCGCAAGTCTCCAAGGGTTCTCTTCAATCCAACGTAGACAAGTGCTCTTCTCAAAGCCTACTTGGAACCTTACAATGGGGCCTCTGAAACCAAATTCCAACAAGCCGCATGGCAAGCTAGCCAGGGCTTCCCCGACTCTTTGCCACCTACGATGCCAATGTGGAAGTATCTGGGTCCCACCCATCCAACCCTGCAGTCCCTCAGCTTGGAAAAACGGCATTAAACATCCTTATGATGCATAGTCATAATGCCCTGACTACATATGTGCGTATAACTGCGAAAATGTCCTTTAAAATCGGCCGAAGCTCATGTTTCACACCTCCATCCATCAACCGGCGACATTGTGTCTGAGGCTGGGGTGCAAACAACTTATTTATAAAGCAACAAGCATCAGCGTGCATAGCTTCAATGATGAACGGGCCATCCCTCGCACATGCCTGACACACAGGGGGTCTGGCACCAAGGACTCGCTGAGGGAGCGGAAAATGAAACGGGACCACGCGGTGCGGGGGTTTTCAACGCAGGCTCCCAATAGCATCACAACACAGGCTCCCAATAGCATCAACAACGAAACTCGCAATGTCACTCAGTGTGCCCCAGGCAACGTGCATGGTCCCCATTGGCAACCATATCACATTGTAAGGATCGCATGTCTGTATGCGGGGTTTCGCTAACCTGCGAACCGCAGCATGGGTACGGGACGGAGGCGCTGGCAGAAGTTCTGTGCTGGCTCTCTTGGCTTTAGCACAAGGAAGGTGTCAATGGAGTGCGGGAGTTGCCGGGCCCGCAGAGCGGGCATCCATCCACCTGGTTGTGCTTGGTGATCCATCTCCAGGTCAAGTTGATCCTCGGCGCTTTCACCGATGGCTCCTGAGCAAGTGCCCCAAGCCACGCCGTGGCAGCCACTAGGTTTGACGCAGCCACTTGGATTGCCCCCAGAATGACTGCATGATATCTCGATAAAGTACTGCTATTTTCAAATAGGCCCGGGGCAATCCCGGAGTATTGGGCCTTCACTGTGGGTGAGCTTGTTTTTCTTCTTTTGAGTTGGTATCCTTCCAAAGCCTGATCCCATTGCTTTCACCTGTTCTGTTCAGGGCTTCTTCATTTGATTGGTCGTTGGCTATTTTCTGAAAAATAAAGTCTTCCGAACTTTCTGGCAAGCACATTTGATTGGTTGTTGGCTATTTTCTGAAAAAATAAAGTCTTCCGAACTTTCTGGCAAGCTCTTGATATCCAAACATTGCACACCAGCCTTTGCCATGCTCCCGCGGTCCTTGGGCACAGCATGCAGGTAGTGGCCTCGGATTAAGAACACGTCTGGAGGGTGGAGGGAAGCACCTTGGGAAATGAAAGTTCGACCTTCTGGCTCCCCTTGAAGTAGTCTTCCCAAAAATCCCTCAACATGTTCAAACGTTGGGATTCGAAGGGTGCCGCTCTTGCCCCCAAGAGTTGCTACCGCCCCACGAACAGGGCTTGTTACAAGACCTTGTGAGGAAAGCGGTCCTCAAATTGACAAATGGTACAGCCCCAAAAGCTTTCCAGTAAGCTCGGAATAATTTATGTTCAGAAAATAGCCAAACAGCGGGGAAATAGGGGCCCTGAACAGAACAGGCGAAAGACATGGGGATCAACCTTTGGAACCATACCAAGTCAAAAGAAGAACGACAGGTGTCTTGGTTGGCACGCCTTATGTGGTTCATGGTCGCTGTCCATTCAATAGGAATCTGTATGTGTCTCAAAACCCAACTCTTTAGAGCCCATGGCCTCCTACCATCCCCAACAAGACAGCTCTTTTGACATAGGCACACATGGCTTCTGCGCTTTCTGCCCGTCGCCTCTGTATCCAAGCGGCGCTGGAACTTCCCCTCCATGGTGCACAGGTCCCCGTTCCTGCGTCAAGGAAAGGACAACAAAGAGGCAACTTGCTGCACCGGGGTTGAATAGAGTGTCTGGAAAAAGTCAAAATTTACACGTCCCTCCTCGTTGGCTGGCCTAGGAAGGTTTGGGAATTTTGGCAACAGCAAATTACATCATGTCCCCTGGCCCCCTCTCGGAAAATCAAGATTTGCTTGGGGCTCATTAGAACTTATCCTGGGTATATGCAAAGCTGCCCGAAAGACCTGTTCTCGCGGCCACATGCATCCTGAAGGGAAGAACGCAGCTTGACTTACCGACAGCCGAACAGTCATGTTCTCACGTGTAGGAAAAGCCCGGGCATGTTCATCTGAAACTGGCCAGGACCCCTTACCATCACAGCCGCTTGTCTGCCCACAATCTCGCCACCCTCCCCGCCATCCAGGTACAGCCCCCATTTCAAGGCCAGGCTTGGGGATATAGAACGTGGGCCTTGCCGTTTCCAGTCCAAGACACAAACCATTGCAATGTAATGGGCAACGCTTCGGCTGACATTCCAAGAAACGGGACCTCAGCATTTGAAAGCGACCTAGCCCTACTCTACACCCAGGCTTTGTCGCACATGTCGTACCACCTGTCAAGGTGCTGTGAGTTGAGCTTGCACCAACTCCCACGCAGAACGCCACACCCAGCCTGCACACGAAGGATGTCTCGGCAGGGCCCTTGTGGCTCTTGCGAGGGCCGTTCAGGGCGCAAGGCTGGTGCTTCACCTTGCAAAAGGAAGGTCCGCGCCCTTCACAACCTTCATGAACTCTCCATCTGGGAACTGGGTTGTGGTTGCTATGCTTTCAAGATAGACTGAAACCATAGCAGTGGGGAAACTTCATGAATCCTACAGCAAAACCCTCTAGGAAGCACGAGCCACACGCATTGATTGGAGCGCTGTTGGGACAAGGAAGCGTCCAAACAAAGCTCGGCAGAACTCAGATTTGCAGAGCGTCCGAAATCTGCCGGCCTCGAAGGTGCGTGCAGCCCCCAAGGAAAGGCTAAGGATGGTGATGTCGTTGTAGCCTCCCTCGAAAAGCTCCTATGCCCAGCCCAGGACGCTTCGAGGGCTCTGGGGCCGCTCAGTGGGCGCGCAGCACAATGCAAAGTTGTTGCGGCAAGCGTGAAGCTTGGTTCAATGCTGGGCTCACTCCTTGCCAGGTGCCTGTTCTCATGCAAAGAAGTGGCAACGAGCCACTTAAAAATCCTTTGCAAAACGGCCTTGCGATCAAACAGCTCGCAGAGACCAAACTCTTGCGCAGAGAGCGTGCAAAGGTCTTGAAAAGGGATTGAGCGCAAAACACCTTGCAGAGAGGTCAGGAAAAGGCTTTGCACAGACGCAGTGAAGACATCTGTCTAAACATACTCGTTCTTGCATACATATTTCAAGCTTGCAGAGATCCTCACACACACACACATCCATCTCAAGCCCTTTCTCACATTAGCTGGGCCTCTTCGCGGACAAATAATTTGTTTAACACTAGCCATTGGAACCAAGGCCATGATATGCCATGCCGCTCCTACGGATCCCCTTGCTAATTTAATTCAGTGTATGTAAGCTAACCAAACGGCACCACACAAGCAAGCGATAACTCTTTTATCCAAGCAATGTGTTGGTGCCAGGGACTCATCTTCCCCTGTCAGATGTCTACGGCTGGGTGGGCCCCATGGGCCACCCACCACAAACTCTCAAAAACTGAAGAACGGGTGTGCAGACTGATAGCGCCCGCCCCTGGGCCGGGGCCCGGGGCACCCAGGCCACAGGGGGGTCTGCCACCAGGGGAAGTGAGTCACCCACCGGCTCCGGTCACGGGAGCATGGGTGGGCCCACGCTAAGATCAAATGCATCTCCATTCAGGAGACGCGGGAGAAAAATGAACTCCTCGCAGAGTTCCTGTTTAGGGACTCTGTGCAAAGGGTCGAACCCAGAGAAATCTGGGTGCGTCAGCTCATCGGCCCACTGGTTGAATTCCCGGGGCACGTGGTTGGCCGCCAGCGAGCAGCCATGGGTGTGGAGCAGGAAGACCAGCTCCATCAGGATAGCCGCGGTGTAGGGCTTCTTGGATCCAAGGTTGAGCATCGCCATGACGTTGCCCTGATTGTCACTGCCCACCGGGAGTCGGACCCGGGAGGACAGAGGGCCTTGGTGCGTGAGGATCATGTTACAGAGGAAGAGCGTGCCCAGCATTTCCAGAGCCGCAATCCTCCGCTTGGGATCCCCATTCTTGAATGCCCACGGGTACTCCTCCACGTGGATCTGCTCGTGGAACCAGTACACCTCCTTCTTTTCCGGCTCCATTTTGTTGGCGCACCAGCCTCCCACAAATGCCAGTCCTTCATCCGAGGCGCTAGCATCGCTGCAACCCCACCAAGAGGACTTCGGCAAGTAAGGGGAGTACTGGACGAAGGGCGTGTTGAAGAGGAACCGCAGCATGAACGCCAGCATCCTGACCACCTTAGGGGGTTTCCCCACCGTGGTGGTGGCCATTTTCCAGGCCCACAGTGGCTGAAGCATCGACTTCGCCAGCGGACATGCAGCAGTTGCCCATTGGATGCGGCCCAGGGCCTTCTCGATGTCCTTTGAGTGCATCGCCTGCCCTTCCACCATGATCTGCAAGACCTCCATCACCAGGATGTGTTTGTTGGCGGCCATGAGAACCTGCGGGATGTTCGGGTGGACCACGAAGCCCAGCCACGTGTTGACCTCCGCCAAATGTGTCTTCTTCCAGCTAAGCGGGGCGCCCAAGGCCAGGAGTGTTGCCTCACCGCCAAGTTTACTGCCCCCTCGCTGCGAAGCAGCCACAGGAAGTCATCCACAAAGACGAAGTTCCAATCCACTTGAGGGAAAAGTGCGTAGAGGACCCTTGGATTGGGCACTGGCCATGCCGTATGTGCCTACCTTGTTCACCCACCATTCTTCCCCCAGTGAGGCCACCTGGAACCGCCAGTCCTTCCTGAGGACCTTCACTCTCCGGTGGGCCTTGGTGACGTCCGCCTTGAGCAGCACCCACCTGGTGCCCGGCTCCGGCCATTGCCAGCCTTTGGGTGGAGGTTTAGCGACCTCCTTCTCGGGGCCGGGGGCACCCTGAGAGGGAGGCCTCCTCAGCTGCCGCATGTAGCCAATGAAGAGCTTGTACCCCATCCAGCACCGTCGGAGCCGTCGTCCTTTCCACCGTCTGGTTCCTGATGGTGTCATTGGCCCCGCCCACCGAGCCATCGTAGATGGTGCGGATCTTGTCCCCTTCGTCGAGGCCCTAGGGGGCCTGGGCAAAGATCCTCCATATTGCAGCCACAGCGCGCTGCTGCCTCTACCTTGGTGAGAGGGCCATCTACCATGCCCATGGGGACCTCCTCCAGGAATGTGCTACGGATGAGCTGATCGCTGAGGGGACTCCGGCTCCTCCCCTTTTAGCTCCTTCTTGAGTGGCCAGATGCCCGGCGAGGCTAGGGGTGGGTCCGTGACCCCCAGTGGGACCCCTTGTTCCAGATCCCGAGGAAACTGGTGGTCGGGGTCCTGAATGTTCAGCGCCAGGCTGTGCAAGATGTCCAGGAAGAAGGGTTGGCCTTCCGCTGGTCGGCCTGCCCCTGGCGCCAGGATCTCCCTGATATCTTCCAGCAGGTCCTCCGGGAAGGGGTGTGACCCGTCCCCCAACGAGAGCGACTCCTGGCCATGGCGACGTGAGGACACAGATCTTGGCCCCCATCGCTGCTGCTTTGGACAATGGCCGAGTCCACGGGGCCAGCCGTCCAAGTGAGGGCTTCCCTGAGAAAAAGGCTGTTTGAAGGCCATCTGGAGGTACATAACCTTGTCGGAGAGATTTGGGTCGTGCGTGATCGGCAGGGTGGTGGGCCGATCCGAGATCTCCATGCAATGGCGTGCCCATGGCTGAAGGGGAAGAGTTTCACCCCGTAGTTCGACCTCCCTGCCCGCCGGCTGTGTTGGTGTCCGGACCTCACAGGATTGTCTGAGGCCGAGACCGGACGTGAGCCCAAGGTTAGTCCCGCCAACGCTTGTTGGCCGGCCTTCAGCCTCAGGGACTGGCGCTTGTTGTCCCCCGGCGTGCGGGGAGATGGTTCCCTCTGCCGCCTCGGGGGGGTCGTTGGGTTCACTTGGGGCACCGTGCCCCCCGGCCTCAGCGCCTCCAGGACGGGTCCCGCTCTGCAGAGGATGGCCGCTGCGAGACCCTGCATCATCTGCTCTGGGTACCGGCTGAGGTCACTGGAGTTGAGCTTTTCCCCCCTGAAGTGAGCTCCGTGGTTGCATCGCAGATCATGCCAATGGTGAAGGGGAAGGTCCGTTGACAATGTCGTGGACTTCACTACCACCTGGCCCAGGCGGCACTCGTCAAACTTGATGAGGGAGTGGTGGAGTGCGTTCGCCCATTGAATGTAGGCCCGTGTGACCCAGATCGATGAGCACCTCGCTGCGCTTGCTGCACTCCATTGGGTCCATCGGGTGCTCCAGGAAGGAGGAGCCCACCTCCGTTCGTTGACCTAGTCCTTGGTAGGCCAGCGAGGTCAGGTACATCTGTCGGAGCATGAGCACGCTGTTGTTGTCCGTGTCCTCCCTTACCCGGGGCTCCAGGTCCTCCAAGCCCCACAGGGTCTGCTCCGCCCTGCCCCTCACCGGCGGCGGGCCTCCCGGTTTGGGGAACCATCTGAGAATGCTCCACGTTCTGCAGTTGGGGCCGCCCCCCACAAAGGCGACCTTACCCGCCATGGCCATGGAGCACATTGTAGAGTATGGCTCGTCTCCCAGCATGTCCTGTCCAAGATCGCCACCCTTTCGCCTAATGTCCACTGCCCAAAGGTACTCCGAGAAGGCCGGGTTGTAGGCATGGAGGTAGGCATCCAGGGCCCCCGCGTCGTCCTTCCCAGCGTACAGCAGGATGAGGGTCGGCTTCGACGACTCCGGCACCGGTCGTGGCGTCCACCTTAGTCTGGACCTCAGTCTTTCCGGGGTGTCTTGCATCCAGGGGAAGGTGGGGCTTGTCCCCCCTGGGGTTTCCGTGTGTCCTTTGTCCGACCCACTGGTCGTCTGGCCCTGGGCTTGCTGCTTGCCCTGACGGTTCTGCCCGCCCTTGGAACGCCCCTTGCCGGGCGGATCCCCACCTCTGGGGGTTCTTCCCACTGCCTCGGTGGGTGCGGGGGAAAAGGCTTCCGCTGTGGCTGTGGTGGGATTGGCTCTCCCCCGCTGTGTGCGCTCTCGCACTGGTGGCCTGTGATCCCTTCGGAGACCAGGCAGCCACGGGGCCCATGGCACCCTGAGTGGCCTCCTGTCACTTGGGGAGGTGTGGGCATGCCTGTGGCACATGCTTCGCTGGGGGGGCATCACACACCCACCCATCCTGCCTGACCGGGCAGTTGTGGGATCGGCCGCATGATCCAGGGCATTTGTTGTGAAGGTGATGATCCCTGCAGTACGCCACCCCTTTGGGATTCTTGAAAGCCCAGTGGTCTGGCCATGGGGTCGAGGAGGTGTTGGGGGACTTCCCTTTGCCGCCCTTGCCCTTCGGCTTGGAATGGGTAGGCCCCGAGGACCAAGATCCTTTTCCCCCCTTCTTGGGCTTCTCCCACTGAGTCTGCCACACCTTTGGTGCCTTGCTCTTGCTCTTCCCCTTCGTCGGCGCCCTGTGGGGCACGGGCTCCCTCGTTGGCCACCTCATCTGACGGCAGGGCCTGCATGCCCTCCTTGAGGGGCGCCAGGATCGCCATCTCGTTGGTCCAGCATCTCCTCAGTGACCAACTCCTTGTGCCGCCGCCTGGCCGAGGCCTCCTCCGGAGTCGGTTCCCGCTGCTCCCGCAAGGCCTTATGCAGCTCCTCCTTCTTCCTGATCGCCTGGTCCACCTGGGGATGGTAGAGCTCGAAGCTCTGAGCCTCCGCCTCCTTCAGGGACCGCTGCACTTTGACCTTGATCTCCTGGCTTTCCCGGACCTTCAACGCCTCGTCGTCCGCCTCCATCTGCCGGATGTCCACCCGCCTGTTAAGCGGGACCGCATCTGCCATGGTGATCTCATCCGCCGAGTCCGTTTTTGGAGGGGCTCTCCCCAAGACCGTGCCGTCCACCAAGTTGCGGTCGGCCTGTGCCAGGGTACCACCGGGGCCAACGGCACCCAGGCTTCCCCATTCCCGCTGCTGGATCCAGGTCGGCTTGCCCTCCAAGATGAGCAGGTTGTAGGTGATGCCGTCCGCCTCATAGGTGGCCGAGGGTGCCTGGAAGGGGGCGAACTCCTTGCCGGGGCAGACCCAGCACTGCTTGGCTGCCTCTGGCCACCCCGTTCCGCATGCCTTGCACATGAACTTGTAGTCGGAATGACCTGCGTCGAGCCTGTACATGCGCTGGGTGCCGATACACGCCTTGTTCCTCTGGAACTGCGAAGCCCAGACCTCCTCCTGGCGGAGCTGGATCTTCATCGGGACGTACGCCTCCAAGATGCGGATCACCAGGTCCTCCGTGAGGTTCTTCCCAACAAACTTGTGAAACAGGGAGACCGCCTCCTCCACCGTGATGTCTCTCAGCATGGAGGTCTGGGAGGTCCACCAGCTTGAAGTACCCGGGTTTTCCGTCCACCGGCACCAAGGTGACAGGTTTGTTGGCCTGAGACGTAGCCTTCTGAGAAGCCGCCACGAAGCCCTTCAGTCTCTTCGTGGGTGGCGTCTGCGCCTCCTCCGGTGGTGTGGCCCGCTCCGTGCCGTCCGCATCCCCCATGTCCTTGTCGCCCTCCTCGGCGGGGCCAGGGGCACCCAAGCCGGGAGTCGGTGTGGCAAATGCCACTCGGAGACGCTCCAGTGCACTGGAGAGGTCCTTCATCACATCGGTCGCCGAAGCTGACGGGGGGGCCTCGGGCTCGTCCAAAACCAAGCCGGCCGCCACTGCCGCCTCCCGTGTGCGAATGTCCTGGGCCTCCTGGCTGGCCATTTCAACCTCCTCCACGGTGAGTGTCTGGTCCTCAATCAACTCAAAGGAAGTTGCCGAGGTTGCCGAGGAAGCCATTGCTTGGTCGGGGTTAAGTTCGAAAATGCAAAAGATCAAGGTTTTTCAATCAGCTTGGGTTCCAGGAACCCAGAACAATGCTTGAGCCAAAATGGCACATGCCATTGTGGTCAAGCATTCCACACACAGTTCATGTTTCCACATGCGTTTCAACATTAACAAAAAATCCCTACGTCTTGAAGACCTGCCGATGCCAGCTGTCGAACAGCGGTCCTCGTCATCTGTGTGCCAACCAACGGAGTCATGACCATCGCCTAAGATGCGGGGCATGTGCATGTTGCATCAGATGAGATTGTCTCAAAGCAGGAAGTTGCCTGGGGGTTCCAAGTTTCCAAGTCTCCATGAACTGAAGGGCAATGCTTCGCCCCACTCCTCCCCCAGATCAACTAATGGCGATGCGCACGCCATGCCCTGCAGCAGAGGCGGTGCAGGCAAGTCTCGGTAGAGGTTGATGTTGCAGCAGTTGGGCTGCGTTGACAGTCCAGAAGCTGCCACACAGTACTTGCCTCAGCTCCGCCCGTCATATCCAACAGCCGCATGGAGATGTTGGAAAAGCTCCATTCAGTTAAGTTGAATCCTGGTGTTAGCAGGTGCCCTGTCCATGGAATGTCCCTGGACCACCCGGACCTCAAGGTTTTTGACCCGCCTCGCCAGTCAGTCGTTTGCACTCTGATCCCAATAGCAAGTTTTGCCCAATGCCACAGACTGAAGTGCTAGGTCTTCTGATGCCAGGTTGAATATGGATTTGTCTCAAACGGATTTAGGGGACCACTGGACCACTAAAAAGTAAGGTTGGTCCCACCGAGTCCCCTCAAACAAACTTGCATATCATTAGGCCGACCCTTCCCTCTCCCGAGCTGTAGGGTCTGCTGAGGTGCGAATCTCAGCCACAAAGTCTGGCTCGGTGGTGGGCTTCACGGCCACGCCTACGAGGGCCGCTGATTCGGTTGCCAGGTGAAATTGCATGCCCCTCAAACTTCAACCATCGCGGCTCGGCCCTAGCCTGAGTACTTATACGTGCAGTTGCAGCCATTGAATACAGTAAAGATCGTACGGCGCGGCATATACTTGCCCTCGTTCTGGTAGCGCGAGTCGGACAAGTCCTGGCCGGTGAAGCGAGAGTAAGTCCTTCCGGAATGCCACGCGGCCGTGCTTGTGTCCGATGTAGGTTACCGATTGACCAAAGGGTGCCACATACACAAAAGTGGTCCAACAACTTCGGCGTATACTGTACCCCAAATCGAGAACACTGATTGTAAAGAGGCGAGCTTTCTGAAAGAATGAGCAAAAGGAATCTTGTCATATTCTGGTCAATCCCATGCCAGCCCTACCAAATTACCTCGTTGAAACTTTGAAACCCACGTCTAACCCTAAGCAAACAAATCTGAGCCCCCCAAACTTGCAAGAATATTTTTGAGCTGGCCCCATTTGCTACCAGTATCAAAGTTCTCGCAAGTGATGGGCTTGAAAGGAAAGAAGCCCAGTTTGACTTCATAAAGGACTCAGTTGAGCCGTCTTTAAATTTGCAGGCCATCAATATTGCAAGGTCGTGATGAGAGCCAGCCCTTGATGCTCAATCATGCCTAGTCGCTTGAACTGCACAAGGCTGCTACATTGAGAAAATGTTTGTGCCCCTACTCCCCTTGTTGGTTTCAACCTGCCCTCCGAAAAATGATACACCCTCAGCAAAAACTGCATTGCCTAAGCATGTGCTTTTCAAGAGTGCTTGCAATGCTTGCCTGTGAGGAAACTGAAGAGTTTGCAACGCTGTGCAACGAAACCTGGCCTACCGACCTAGCCTGGAAAGAAGGGTCAGACGTTCGAGACCTAGCAGCACTCGGAGCAGGAATCGGGAAGGAACCGATTGGGTTTAAACAATCAGCAAACACAAGCATTACGTTCCCTATCCCTTTCCATTTCGGTTTTGAGCCCAATTGGGGAATCTGCTCAATTCTTATGTAACCCACGGGTCTGGCTTCCGAAGGTCGGCATCCAGAGACTTTGGCCCGCCTATTCCCAAGAGGCCCCAGGTGTTTGGTGTCCGGAAATGTCCAGCTTCCCCAAAGTCATGCTTACATGTCTCTTGCTTAAAACTGCCCACAATCAAACCCACAAGTGCAGGTAGTACTTCAGGCGCCCAAATTTGACCCAAGACTTTGTTTCAGGAACCTGGCTGCCTGGCCCGGCGGAACAAATGCAACCCACGTGTTTCCTCGACGGCTTCGGAGATGTTCCTGCAGCTCCCAACCTTAGAAAGAGTCACCCGCCTGCCAAGGAAGCCGTGTACGAAGAGTCTCGAACCAGCTCCAAGCGAGGTCCTCGAGTTCAAAACCCCCCTCTCGGAAACGCACACTCGGAGCGCCAAGTTCGAAAGAGACTACTGGAAGCAAAACATGTGCAAACTACTTCCGAGGAAGCACTGATTTGCAAGCAACAACATGCGAACTTCGCATTTCCCCCGCAAACATTGCTCCTGCGGCACGGCTCCACGGCACAGGGACGCGTAGGACCTGAGGCTGTCGTCCTTGAGCACGAGCTGCCACCCTGACGCGCGGCAAAGGTATCCTCTCTGGAGTCCCCTTTCGACGAGCGAAATCGAAGCCACACAGACCTTGCAAAACCAGGCGGAGGAAACGCCGCAGCATGGTAGCAAACAAGAATGTGAACAGTGCAAATGTAGATGATACAGGTTTGTGTCAAATTGGGAACCCTCTTGCACTGCTGCTGGCTTTGAACAATGAATCGCGCTGTTCAAACTGCCTTCACCTATTCGGCCAGCACGACCAACCTTGCAAACACCACTCGTGCAAGAGTCCTTGAAATTGAAACGCAGGAGCTCCTCCTTTTGTACACTGGACAAGCCTGCTTGAAAGCTTTACGAAAACAAACGCCACAGGTGGCCTTGCTCACCCCTCTCTCCCGGCTGGGCCAGCCTAGGCTAGGGCGGGCTCGTGCACCTGTCTCTGCCACGGTGACCAGGGGCAGCTCCTGGCTCCAAGCCCTCCACTTCTGAAACACGCCGGAGAATCCACATGCCCGGCTTCGTTGGCCATTATTCAGGCCACCTTGCTCAGGCCACGTTGCCTCTGCTGAGGTCTGCCCCCCAGCTGAGGGCCATGGGAATTGAAACCATGGCAGCAATCTTGATTCCCAAGACAAAGGCAATGGTTTGGGGGCATTGCAAGAACAGAGCCCCTCATTCCTACAGCCGCGACTTCTGGCTCCTCCAGAGGTGGCTCAGGCTGAGCCCAGGCGCCCTTGCGCAGATTCTCGACATCATGCCTCGGCGCACGTGCCCGGTGGCCTGCAAGCAGGGCTTTGCGGCTGGCCTGGCTCCTGCAACGCGCCTGCCTTGTAAAAACAACGGGCTGAGAAGCATTCCTTCTAGCAGGCCTTGTTCTAACCTGACCTGCGGATGATGCTTACAAGCAGCGATGAAGGTTGTGCTGTCTCAGTAGCTGCTTCAAGGTCTTAGTGAGGCCTTGCACTGTGCCATGTTCAGCAGTCAGGCACCTATCTGTATCGTTTTGGTGCTACACTTTGGGGTCGCGTAAATCTGTGGAAAACCTCCGCGTGCCGAGGCCTTAGCGCCGAGATGCATGACCTCCTTGGCCTTCCTCTTGGGCACGCCAACTCTTCGGAGCACACCTGCGGTGTGAAAGGATCATTAGACGCTTCCCCCGGTTTAGCCGCCAAGTGGAGACGGAAACCGGCGACATATGGAAATCGGGCCAAAGCTCTTCAGACCCAGGCTGAGCAGGAGTAAAACCGCAAAGAGTCACAAGCACGGCTGAAGAAACAAATGAATCTCCGCGGTCCGCCCGCCCCCCTCTCACCACTCCGTCCGCCCCGCCCCGCCACAAGCCGCTCCTTCGTTCAGCGTAACGAGCAGCGCGTGGCCGTCTCGGAAGGCGGTGACCAGCTGCCGCTTCCAGCGGTCCAGGCCCTGCAAACTGGATCAAGGGGACTTTGGGAGTATGGGACCATGGCATGTTCTGCTGGCCTAGTTGCAACCAGCTCACGGAAAAATCACAACATGAGGCTCTTGTAGGAGCTAGAAGCCTGAAGTGTCGACGTCTCCTGACTGTTTCGCAGTCGGGTCGGGCTCCCTAAAAAACTCTCCAATCAGTTGGGACGTTGCGACAAGGCCTCGCCATGGAACCAGGAGGCCGCTTCGGAGGTGTCCCAGTCAAGTGCCTCCACACCCTTGCCTCAGAGTTGACAGGCTGAGGAAATTGTCCAGTCCCTGGATACGTCCCTCAAAAATGCTCACCCAAAAGGTGAGTGTTAAACTTCAAACAACGCCGGAGTGGAAATGGAATGATGCTGCGAGAGCAATCTACACAAAACACACAGCAACGAACATCAAGCCTGGAACAAATCAGTATAGCGGTGTTTTGCTAAGGCCAAAGCTGGCATCCATGTAGCAGTTGCTGCTGCAGTACTCCTCATCCCGCCCGAACTCGCAGAAGGTGTAGGTCTCGCAGAATCCTGAGATCCCGTCCACTTCATTCGAGTTGCTGCCTAGCCATCCGGCATTGGCCCCAGCGCAACCGAGTGCAGCCAATTGAGCGCTTCACCAAAAAACAACAAACCTAGATAAAGGAATGTAGGTGCTCTTCTCTCCACCACCTGTCAGCTCTTGGAATCGCATGCTAGGTAAATGAACGAAGAGAGAGGTGGCATGTGGATGAGGAAGAGGGGTGGGTGGTAAAGAGATGTGGATAGGATGTAATGGAGATGGAACCTTTCTGTAATAGCGGTTCATCTCTGGGATTGATGGCCAGCGGATGGTCTATCTCCTTTCATCTCTGAGATTTCTAGATGAGACAGTGAGAGATAGGGAAAGTGTATTTGAGGATTATCTTATGGTCAACAATAAAAATGAAACAAGATATAGAAAGCAAAAGAAAGAGATATGACGAAGCCATAGAATAGAGGCTTGGGATTACTCTTTTATTAATTTGTATTGGTTAAAATAGTTCTATAATAAAAACAATAATATTTGTATACATTTCTATTAGAATTAGAACTATTTGACAAGGAACAGATTCTTGAGTTTTATTATTTATTTCTCTTTTTATTACCATTTCTTTACTATTTGGGGAGGTCCTTCTTAGCTCTTAGGTCTTAGATGTGCAGGGTTGGCGCTGACTTTCTGACCAGCTGCGGCACTTGGTCTTCCTGTCCTCCGCAGCAGCCCGAGAGCCCTGCAGCACTACATTGCTTTCACGCCCAAGCCATCACAACAAGCTCATGCTTCTTCTTGAGCTGCTCATTTTGACAACCTGAAATCAAGCCCCTGCAAGAAAAACACCCGCATCAAGCGCAACCCTTTCCAACACGTGGAGTCGCTTTGAAAGGGTCCCGGCTCAAATACACAGGGCTGCTGTCAAAGTCCATCCTTGCTTCCTAGAGTGTCAGCCCGATTCTGCCTTCCATGACTCGGGCACAAAGTGAAAAGCATCGAAACCACAGCCAAACCTCATACTGACCGTTCTCTGGCCTGTCGAGGGGAGCGGGAGCGAGAGCGAAGCCTGACAGTAGGAGTGAAGCTGCAACATCGCCTCAAAACTTAGCTAAGTTTACGAACCTTTAACTTTACCGTGCTTGGTCCGGGGGTACGGAGGTATGGGGGTGCGGTACGGGGGTACCATACCCATTGCACCCGTCAACTGTACCCATCGCACCCCTCGACCGTCTCGCACCCCTTGACCGTAGCAACACGGACCGTACCCCCTTCCCAAAACCGCACCAAATCATATTTGCAAGGGACCTTGATCACTGTCTCATAGGGACAGCTTGTGGCATCCAAAAGCTAATTCCCACATCTCAGCAGCTCATGTACCACGTGAGCTGCCAAAAAGCAGCGGGTCGACACCCGTGCTTGCTGGAAGCGCACTTCTTAAAATAGCATCGTTCCATCTATCAAGCTTTGCCCAACTTGACATACTCTTCTAAAGCATCAATTGTTCCTCCCTCACAGTTGACATGAGGTGCTTGCAGTGGTTGTCCCAGCCTCCAGCTGCTGCCTGTCATCCTTCACAGCTGACCCTTCCAAACCCTGCGCTCTAAGCCAAAAGCGCTGCGGGAAAGCAAAGGGTTGCCTCCCAAATGCCGAGACAATGCCTGGCCCAGCGGATGCGCGATGTTACGTGATGTCTCTGCTTGATTGCAACCTTCCGCTCGCACCTCCAAAGGGATGGTGTAAGCACTCTGCCGACTTTGCTCAGTTCAAGCAAAGTGATACTACTGCCGTCGGCCCCTACCTCTTGCCAAACCGAGCCAAGGAAGCCAACTGGGTCCCAACAAAACGAGATCTCCCTTTCTTCAAAAAGCGGGTCCGAGGACGCGAATGGGCCGGTGAACCGCGTCAGGGGTCCCCTGATTAGTGTGGTCCGAACACGTCTATGACTATGCTCCTGTGGATCAACCCACACAAACAAAGTACTCAAGTAGGAGACACTCATTGGTAATGCCTGCAAAACATGGAAATAGTATGGTGAGCTAATTGTCCGACGCATGGCCTACCCGCAGTTCCCATCCTTCTTCCCAATTTCACAGCCCTGGATGGACTGGAGCCCATTTTCCTGGTGGGGCTGACCATTTTTGGCGGGAAAGCTAAAAGATGCTAAAAGCATACAAAAAACCAAAGAAAGTGGGGAACATTACATCGAGGGAACTGAAAGCGCCCGTCCTCCGCCTCCTCCACTGCCGCGGACTCTGTGCGAAGCTGCAGGTTCTCGGAGACCAAGGCATCCCCACGGCTCACGCAGCACTGGAGCCTCGAGCTCACAACGCCTCTGAGCTTTGGCCCTTCGGATGTGTGTCTCAAAGGAACCGGCGGAATCGGCGCCCCACAAAGACACTTTGGTTCCCGCATGGCTATGCATGGCTCCCCTGCGGTCCGCCATTAGGGTGTGTTCCAACCCGAGTGCACAGATTTGCTGGAAGCTTGCTGCAACCCAGGCCTCATTGTGAATTTCAAGTGGAAGTCCACTTGAAGTGGCAATTCGATGAGCAGTGTTTGTACGGCCCGTTTTATGTCCAAATGACAGGGAGAAGTGGGGCCAAATGGGCTAAATGGGGTTAAACATGGTTTGGGTGATGCGAAGGGGAAATTGAGCGAAAAGGAAACCAACCGTTTGCAGTGGCGTAGCGTGGCTTGCCTAACTCCGGGCATCCCATTTGGGAATAATTCTGGAAAAGGACCAATTCGTTGGATGAGGTCCCGGCCCTGGCTTCGATTATAGATCCCGCAGATTTCCCCTTTGATATAATGATGCTATGCAGTCGCTTGATCTTTGACATCTTGCGATGCCCTGTGTTGAATTCACTTTAACGGACTTCCTTAAAGGATGCATCCAACCGCCACAGAAAATTTAATTCCACAGCTTGTCCGATGAGCTACTTGAGTTCGGCCCCGGCACCGAGCTGGCCGATGCCCTGGACCCAGCCAAGGCCCCGGCTCCCGGCCCAGCTCCACGGCCTCCGAGCGCAGCAGCGCGCGCTTGCGGCGCAGCGCCTCGCTGGCGCGGCCTCGGCAAACGGATGGACCCGGACGCAAAAGGATCGCCGAAGAAAAAGCGGCCCCCCCCCAAAGGGTCAGCAAGTAAACCACCTAAGCTCGCTTCCCGAATATATGATTTGTGCAGCCCTGGCTTCTCAACGGCCCACATTGTTTCGACTCCTTTTGGTTCCCCTCGGGTTGGTTGAAACAGGGCTGTTCAAAATGAAGGGTGGGACAATCCTAATCCTTGACCCCGAATTAGAGGGAACCAACTTCAAAGGGGACCCTGCAATTTCCAAAGCCAAGGACGAGATTAAGGATTGCCTTTGAACAGCCAAGCCTTGGCAGAACTGCGGCCATTTCTTGGATCACTCTAAGCCCTGCGCGCTGCTCAGCCGCCTCATCCCCGAAATCCGCGGAGCCTTAAGGCAGGCCATCGGAGTTCGGAAATCATGATGAACTTCTCCGGAAAATGTGCGCGGAGGCGCAGAATCTCTTTGTGGGGGGTCCATGTCGCTTTCCTAGAGTTGACAACATTTAATTTGAACACCTCCCCCCAATTACATGAACGAAGCGGGTATCAAATGAGGGTCTGGAAAAGTAAAGGCTGCCCATCACGTATTGGCTTACCTTTGGGAAATCAAAATTGTGGGCATTGTGGGCTAACTGGAACCCAGGATTGATCAGCCCGTGTTTGATTAATGAGGGCATTCGGATCCCGCTTTGGGGGCAAGCACCCGTAACATGCATAATCCGTCAAATATGTTTGCTCCCTCGGGGTCGGCATGCTCACCCAACACAAGGAAACCAAAAGTCGCTGGGGCCGCTGGAGGCTCCCCGCAGGCCAGCAGCTCTGCCTGCAAGCGCCGGCGGGTGGCCAGGCGCGACGAGGCCACCGCCTGAGCCTGGCGAGAGCCACGTGAAGCACACCCCTGCACGCAGGGATTGACAACGTCTAGCTCCCTCATCCAATTCAGGGGGTGCGTGGCGGTTTCTATTAAATTACTTTGGAGCCTTCCAAGAAACCTTACGCGGTGTGAAGCGTACCTGTCGCGAGCATGTGTCCAAATCCGTGCTTTCGCAGGCCTTCCGCGGGCAAGTTGCTTCTGGAAACTGAGGAAGGCAGCTTCCGCGAGGGGATTCGTGTGCAGAGTTTGCTAGTAACAGCAGAACACTAGTCCGGAAAAGCAAATCAACAACATCATCCCTTCCACTTTAAAACACCTTCTGCAAACCTTCCACGAGCCCTCCGCGAACCTTCCGCGGCTGCAGTGCAGCGCTACCTTTTTGTTGATGTGTCAACATCCATACATGTTCGCTCGAGCGGAAAAAGCAAATGCCACACAGGTGAAGATGGAGGCTCGCTGGAAGTGTTCTAGCCAAACCCAAGGAACGCCGCTGGGGGGTACGCTTAAATCATAAAGCACCCTCCAGCACAAAATCTCTTCTCGAACGGACAACCAGACCTGTATTCTCTCACTGGACTTGCTTGCCCAAGAGCCGATATGATCTGGAGTCAACAAACTAAGCAATGACCTCAAATGGGTCTGTCCTTGTTTTGAAGGTATCCGTTGGGTTGTCACAGAGCCCACGCCTCTTTGAGCTCAGTAGTTGCGTCTTCCACCTGGTGTCTGGGAGTGGCGGCTGCGAAATTGACAGGCGACTGTCCTTAACAAAGGCATTTTGGGGTCGAGGCTGCATAGATATGTCTTGATTCACTGTTGACAAAACTACACTTTCAATACCCCCGAGGCCAACTGTACCTCGTGCTAGTTGAGAAGGCATCCGGACACAAATTCGGCGGCACCTTCCAGAATCATAACTCGTGATAAATGTGGATCCGATATATCTTTTGCAGTTGTCCAGCAGGCTCGTACTGGCTTCCTGGGTCCCCAAAATACTTCTTCCACCCTTTGGCCCATGAACAGTAGCAACAGGCTAGAGAAGAGAAGAACCGCAGTAGCTGCGTGGAGGGCAACTAGGTGCTTGCTTGACTCCAAACCGCCAACTTCCATGTGGCTTTGACATCGTCAAACCGACGTGAGTGGCACTGCTGCTACTTAGCATCCTCATCACACGCCGGCCTTCGTCCAACCAACGTCATTCAGCAAGCTCGGGTGCAACTCGCAGGGATAAAATCTACAATGTTGTCCCAAAAGTCATCAACCAGTCGGACTAGTTGGGGGAGGGGGTGGTCCCCAAGAGTGATCTGGATACTCTCATGAAAAGAGTTGCGCCCTCATCAAAATCAACCAGCCGCATGTTCCCCCATTTCTAAAAGATAGTAAAAATGGAGGGCCTGCCCTCCTTTTGCTCAAGGGGAGCCCAGCGACAAAGAGCCACCTAGATCTTCATTGGCTGTTGTCACATCCCCCGGATGGCGTATGGGCCCCAAATACAACTGTTTGTTTCACAAGAAGAACAACTGGGCCCCGCCCCACAGCCAACCAGCAGCAAACCACCAATAATTGTGTCAGTTGCTCTCATCACCATGGTCAAACCTCCTTATGCGGGTGCTGCTTTAGATTGCTTGACTGACACGGGCATCCCTTCCAACCCCCGGCAACGAGTTTTTTGAGTATGGACCTAAGTTCGCCCGTTTCTTCTTTTTCTTTGTCGCAAAAATGGTGGGCCTCTAGTTGATTTGCCTTTGAACCTTGGAGAAATGCAACAAAGTGCAATTACCCTGAAAGGACAGCATGTAGAAAGTGTAAAGCTTTACACACACGAATCTTTTATATATGTTACGACTTATGTTCAGAAGTTCAGAACTTCACTGGCTTTAAAGAACTTCCACAGCCACCTTATTGTGTAGACTCGCGCCCAGATCCGCGGCCCGTCCTCCGTCTGCAGCTCCTCCACCGTGGCGAAGATCGAAAGACGCTCCACGCGCATCTCCGCGAGCACCTGTCGCCCACCAACTTCCCCGCGGGCCGAGCCCTCCGTTCTATCAAGTTTTTTCATCCCCGAACCACAACCCCAAATCAAAGACCGGGCTACATACCCCTGATATGGTGGCTACGTGGAGGTTGCCCCACCAAGATCTGGGGGAGCAGTGGTTTGGAGGTACTGGAACTCTGCATGTGTAATTGATTGTAATTGTGATGCATTTTGCCCAGGAACATTCTGTCATATCAAGGAGTAAGACACCACTGGAGGTCTAGCTTGTGGCTTTTCACATGTTTTTGTTGCCTAAATTTGGGAAATACGACGGCCTCCTGCTGGCGTGAAGGGGTCTAAATATGCTCAGCCAGTCTCGAGGCTGCTGCTTCAGCTAGCTCAGAAGTTGCGGCTCTTCCCGCACAGTATTCACAAGGTTCCCACAAGATTCTGGAAACCACAGGGCAGAACCTTCGTGGGTTTCAGCGGCAAACCAGTCCGAGGCCGAATACTGACACATCTCTGGGTGTTTCTCAAACAGGGCCCCCAAAAATGGCTGGCTCCTGACTTGCCAAAGGATTGAAATACAAACCACAATGCGGTCCACAACTTCGAGAACCCCCCAAATTCAAGTGTCTCGCGGCACACCTCGTGTTTGGTGGCCTGGTCCTCTTGAAGCGCCGCCCTCGGCCCGCGGGTCTGCAGGTCAAGTCTGCGCAGCACAATTTCCCTTCCAAACCCTCGTGCAGGCCTCAGAACCTTTTAGAGGAAAAATTGTCCAAGCAAGCGCCAAGTCAGGTTCCATGTTGTTGGTGGATAGGAGGCTAGCTGGCGGGTTACTCGGGCCATCCTGGGCCATGTGAGATTTGCTTGCCTTTGCGCAAATTACGTTGAAACACTGGAGTCCCGGGCCAGTGAGTGTTGAGCTCAGTGCTCTCCCGCTCCAATGCCTGCAGCACCGAGGCCGCTGCCAAGTATCCCTCTATGCAGCTCGCAAACTGCCGACCCCAATTGTGCAGCGCGGCACCCTTGCGTTTAAACAGCATAGATATAGATTGTTCGAAGCATCAAGTAACAATGTGCTTGTTAGACATGTTTGCCCAAAATAAGACCGCCTAACATGGACAACCTACACAAGAGCCACATCACCCTGGCTAATGCAGAGTAGCGGCTCTCATACGGCGTTGTAGCTACAGTATAGACTTGCAAGGGAGCCATACGGAGTCATAGCTGCGTGTATATATATATATATATGTATTAATCTATCTAATATAGGCAAAAGAGCTGGTCTGACTGAGGTCACCTGTAGGTTGTAGAACCGCTTATGTGCGTGTGCGGCTCTGAAGGTTCGTGCTGACACACGTCTGAAAGTGAACGCGTTGAAACGGACTTAATCCAGGACTTCAGCAAGTTGAAACAACTTGCCCTCATGGCCACCCTGCATCAAAGTGTCTTGTGTTGAAACATCGACCTATTCAAACAAAATCTGACGTGGCTCGTCCACCAAAAATGCCGAGTTTGGATCAGGGAAAACCTGCCCCGAACTGCGTCGCAGGCGCTGGGCCTCCTTCTGCGAAAGGAGCTGGGCCCTGGCCTCGTCGTAGACGTTGTCCTGACGGCAAAAAAATAAGAGGCTGACCGGGTTGAACCTGGGCACACGATTCACACGAACGCGGGATTGACTAAATGCAAAGAATTAAAACAAACGCACGGATGCGTGGGGTGCAGGCCCACAAGCTGCCAAATTGCGGACAGCTGCCCCCCTCCCCCCCACGCAGGCCCAACAGCCTTGGATGGAGAAGCTTCATCATCCACCGGAAGCGGGCCTGGCCATACAAGTGCGCAGCTCCTATCACTGACTGAGAGACCGAACGCAACTCGCGGAAAACTACAGGGACGGTTTCAAACAGCCTTGAAGCAAATTCTAGCTGAATCCTGGAATGCTGGCACAGCCGCGAAAGGAAAAACGCCATGACAAACATCAGCCTCTCGTCTTGCACAAGCTCCCGTGTCCCCCCTGGCACCTCGGGGTGGGGGCGGCGTCTCTGATGGTAGCATGGACTGGCACAGCCTGGCAGGCCACTCGAGAGTCTGCCTCCGGAAGCTCGAGCCGAGTGAATGTGTGTGTGTGTGTGTGTGCATGTTGCGTATGTGCACGTGTATGTGTGTATGTGTGTGTGGGAATGTGTGCACGTGCTTGGTTGTTTGTTTGTGTATTTGTTTGTTTGCTAGTTTGCTTGGTTTGTTGTTTGTTTGTTTGTTTGGTTGGTTGGTTGGTTGGTTGGTTGCTTGGTTGCTTGGTTGCTTGGTTGATTAGTTGATTGGTTGATTGGTTGATTGGTTGATTGGTTGGTTGGTTGGCCGATTGGTTGGTTGATTGGTTGATTGGTTGGTTGGTTGATTGATTGATTGATTGATTGATTGATTGATTGATTGATTGATTGATTGATTGATTGATTGATTGATTGATTGATTGATTGATTGATTGATTGATTGATTGATTGATTGATTGATTGATTGATTGATTGATTGATTGATTGATTGCTGGTTTGTGTGAAAGTAAGGGGATTGGTTTTAAAGGGATGCCAGAGAGAAACCAGTCCGTCTTTTTGGGGGGAGGATGCCCTTGGAGAATAGCATGGCCAGGATGGTCAATGCAATCGCAAAGAACCTTTTGGCAGGAGCCATTGATGCAGACGGGCTCTCCGCAGCGAAGCCTCACAAAGTTCCACGCAGTGCCAATAGACATCCGGCCATGCAACGCCGGTTTTCACGATCTTTAACTGGTGGAACCTCATGACCGTGATAATTTGAACCTCGGATGACTTGCATTTGGATGCTCCTGCAGGAGTGTCGACAGCACATGCCTCTTGTTCTAGCAAAGCCCGTTGATGTTTGGAGCACGGCACACCCAGAGCCATCCATCACGGACTGCTCACCCCGCCTGTGAAGCTCTTGCAGGCTCGCGGCGAAGTCTGGCTCGCGCTCTTGGAGGTTCGGCACCTCGGGCTGACGGCCGGCATCTTTTCCATGCGCGCCAAAGTCAAGCCATGCAAGCGCCCAACGCCAGAGCGCCAAATTGAATCACTCGTTCCAAGTGCCCTGGTCTAATTTTGTTTGCCTGGGGGTGGAACCATGTTTATCAATTAATGAGCCACAGTAGAGCAAGGAATTTAAACAGCAGGTAAGTTTTTGGATTTGCGCCGGTTTCGAATGATTTCAAAACTTGCTTCGTACCGACTAGTATTGGCTGAGTTTTTGGTTCTCAGTGTCCCTTCATCTGATTGGCATTAAAAATCGGCGGGACTTGCTGGTTGAGAGTTGCTTTAGCATTGGCTAATTAATTTTGCTCCAGTATTTGGGAGACTTGGGGTTGGAGCATTCATGAGGAACAAGAGCTCATGTGCAGCTCGAAGGGAGCCACGTGGCGGATATTTGACTTCCCCCCTTTTCTCCCAGCCTTGTCCTCCTTTCTGGCCAGGTCCTTGGCCCTCTCCGGCGACGTGGCTGTGGGCGACGCGGGCGACGCGGGCGACGCGGGCGACGTGGGCGACGCGGGCTTCGGGTTGGAGTGCCCCAAGTCGCTTCGCGTCACCTTCGGCTCTGCGTGGTGGATGGCTCCTGCCAATCGAGCGCGGATGTTCGAGAGCCACTTAGCTTACAGGAAAGCAAACCAAAGCTAACCGAGAGACCCTTCAGAACCGGCATGCCGGCAATACTTTGGGAACCTACACTTGCAGCTTCATGCGGAGTTGTGCCATGATCGGTCATGTCAGTCCACAACGAAGGCAGCTCCTTGATTGGATTTGCATCCTTGTTTTAACTCCAGGGTCCTTGCAAAGGCAGTCCACGCCCTTTTACGAAGGCACTGTCCGTCACCCTCACCCAACAATCACACAAAGCAAAGCCAAGACAGGATGCGAAGTCATGTTATCTAATGGGCTGCAAATTGCCCTGCTAATAACGGTGCTTCAAAACATACGCTACCTCACATAGACCACGCTGCTCTTGTACTGGGGCAAGCTAAGTCCATGCCTCTTTTCGCGAAAGCATTTTCTCACTACCGACAACCTCTCTCAGCTTCACAGACATGAAGTTGAACACATGTCTCACTGACCCAGTGGGCAAAGAACTTGCGAGGCCTAATCCAAGGCTCCCCGCCTTCGGCTTGACCTGTTTGTGGCGATGGCTTCCCGGCCTTTCAGCTGACGGGGTGAGGGCCAAGAAGTGCCATGGAAAATGTCATGCAACCCCCGTCATCATTCACTACGTGGTTGCAACTGTTCCTTTTCCTTTCGATTTCAGGTCGACGTTGCAGCTCCGAATCGCCCATGGCTATGAACCTCGCAAAAGCCGCCCTCAAAAATGGCTGGTGCACGTCAACGCCTTGCACCCTGCAAGAAGAAAGAACTGTTGTTCAAACCCGCAAGCCACCAATCCAAACCACCAACCAAGGATTACCTAACTATACATACAAGCTTCATCAGCGGACCAAAATAATTACTGGCATGGAACAAGCCGACTGCTGGCCTTGCCCAGAAGCTCGGAGCACAGTCGTTCGAAGCTGGCTGGGGCTGCGCCCCCTGCAAGCTGACAGTCGGCCGGCAAAGTTCTGGCAGCGAAACCACCAAACCAACAAACAAAGAAACATGTTCAACAGGGAGGACCTCACACCTTTTCCTCAATGCATTTTCACCACTTCAAGCATCTGAGCTACACATGTTCAACAACTGCCATGTTCAAATATGCTTCCCCACCCACGTGGATGCGAGAAGCAGAAGCCGATGTACTCTGCACATCAGATTTCCATACTGCAACGCTGCCGTTGCATGCTGTTGCACAAAACCACACTGCTTTATTCTCAAAATGCGGGAATCCCCAAAAACATGATTGCTTTCCCTGACTTTTAAAGACACTTAGGACTGGCCTCGGGCTTATGACCTCTTTGGGAATGGGCACCGCGGGGCTTTTCATGAAAAGCGCAAGGTGCTCGCCTGACTCCGAGCGCAGGTGCAACAAGAGCCGCAGCCGCACGGTACTGGAGGGCTCCACCGGAAACCACCTGGCCGCTCGTGACTCGTGACTCGTGACTCCTGACTCGTCCTGCATCTCGGGTTCTGGCGGAATCGTGATTTGGGGAGGGGGAGCAGGGACCAGCACGTTTGGGATGCCAGAAGGCTTGATGGTTCGTTCACGTGCATCTGCTTCGTACACGTGCATCTGCGCACAGCAAATCGGCTCTGTATGCTTGATTTGCTGCTTGCATCAAGCATGACATTGCGTTTGCTCCAGGCCCCTGGCTCGTCCAGTGTGGAATCTTTGCACCGTCCTGAGCCGCGTCAGTTGCTGAAATGGCTGGTCGCGCGGGGATTGTGGCACCAAAACACAAACCCATCGGAGTCCCCAGGGGCAACAAGTTAAGAACATCCTGCACGGCCTGCCTCGCTAAAGAAACGGCGCAACCCCGGGCACAATGCTCTCCGGCCGTGTCTCCTAGTCTCATGATTGGCACGGAGATGTTCCCGAGGCCCGTCTCGCCGAAGAGGATTGCGATTGTACACACCTGGGCACGTGCCGCAAAGCAAGCGGTACACGGCTGCAGCCCCTCTGGATTGTCAAAGGTGTTTCTTGCACCCGCACATTGCGCATGGTGCTATTCACAGATTCTGTGAGTCACTGCAAGTGGGCCCGCCGTACAGTGTGATCATAATGCGTACCGTGGGTTGCTCCTTTCATCACCACTCCTTTCATCACCACAAAGCTCAGCGTGACCGACCGCCCCAACACTTAACCGTTCAAAACCAAGAGTAACCGCCAGAAGGAGAAGAAACAGCAAAAACCCAGCAGCAAAAACATCTCTTGTCATGTTCTTGCCATCCTGCGATACGCTCCGCAGAATTCCTCCGATGGCGGGAATTACTCATTTGTTGTTGGTTGCGAATGGCGCTCGTTGTTTGTTTCAGGAATGGGGGGACGCCCTTCCGTTTGAGTCGCCCCACCGAGAAGATGTGGGGCACCTGCCAGGCCCGGAGGCATTCCTCGCGAAAACGGCCACTTTCACCCAATGGGCGGCAGGGCAAGCGAAAATGCAACATAATGGTCACACGTAGCTGGGCGGAAACTGCACAACCAATCAATCACTCCATCCGATCAAGGCAAACCAAACTTCACATCAAAAACCGTCAATCAATCAACCAACTAAATAATCAACCAATCAACCAAGCAGTGAATCACTCAATCAATCAATCAATCAAGCAATCAAACCAAATCAAATCAATTCAACACAAATCAAAACAATCAACCAACTAATCAACCAACCAGTCAATCAACCAAGGAACCAATAAAACACAATCAAATCAATCAACAAAACCCCCAATCAAACAACCGATATATCACATAAAAGGCACGTGCAAATCAAGCCACCCAACCAACGAACAACATCAATCTAGTCAATAGATCGCAACCAAACAAACACACAATTGACTGACTGAACTGCTTGGTGTGGTCGGGTTCCTTGGCCGGTTGGTTGGTTTGTGGTTGGTTCGTTGATTGGCTTGGTTGCTTGCTTGGTTGCTTGCTTGGTTGATGGATGGATGGGTTGATGGATTGGTTGTTGAATGTTCACACTTCAGTGTATCAATCTTGAGTTCTGCGCTTCCGTGTCTCACTCACAAAGAAATGTAACATCAACACTCGCTCTCTCTTAAGCTTTTGGAATTACGAAAGCCCAGCTGCCGCGTAGGCCGGTTGATTTTGGTGTTGTTGTGGGCTCCGGGCGGCAATGCTGTGCATAAACACACTCCTGCACCTGTTGGTAGCTAGTTTATCTCGCTTCGTGTAGGGATTCATAGGTGCAAGATGCTGTCCGTCAACAAAAGGAACCAGTTGGGAGCGGACCGGACGGCCCAAAACCCTGCGCTCCTCGAAGGGCATGGGGACGCGGCTGCGGCGGTAACCGCTGCCCAGCGCTACCGCGCAATGGAGCCTCATGTCCCAGCCCGGAACTTCGCTAGCCATGGGCCAAGCATGGCCAAGCAAACGCCGCTCAAGGATCTACTGTTGTCTTGGCCTTTCCGCAGATTCCCACAGCCACAGCCGGTCGTAAACCAAGGGAGGCTGGCTGTTTGATTCACGAGGCGAATAAGGTTTGGCCGAAATCCTCACCTTGTCAGATGCAGTGCCTGCCAGCATTGAATAAACAGCATAGCCAGCTGGCATTCTTGTCACTCGCTAGCAGCCCATTATCCAGTGATGTCAATCCAAACCTGCAACCCCTGCCTGGTGCCTGGGCCATTAAACGCCTTTCTGGTACCCAAACGGAACAGGGTTGAGGATTGATGGGTTGCAGCGCTCAAGCTTACGCCAGCCAAGCTCATATACATCTACGGTTACCACATCCAGCCCAAGCACCTTTCAAAACTGCAAAGTGCCACACGACGAGAACACTCATCCCTAGTAAAAGCTGCCATGGAAAGTTATCCGTTCTCCTTGCCTGCATCATCGCCCCTGGCCCACCCCGCAGGCATCTGACTTGGCCAAAGGACCTGGAAATAAAACATCATGCCTTTGGGATTTTGACCCAATATGGACAAAGAAAAACGCAAAGGTGTAGGACATCTGAGGGACGGGGGGCCTGTTTGTCCAACCAGGAATCTGTTTTTGGACCAACGAAACCAAAGGGTATGAAAAACTAAGGTCAAAAAGAAGCTTCTGGGAAATTGGCAGGCGTGTTGAAACAAGCGGCTCCATGTCGCCAATCTCCGCATCGCACGCCACAATGGCGAGGAAGAGCTCAGCCATCTGACCTACGTTCAATCGAACTGGTCCACTCTGGCAAATGAATAACGAGGGAAGGCACCCTCCCCAACATGGAACCTGACAATCTTGGAAGTCAAGTCTCCTCAGGTGCATGTTAGCTGGTGGGTGGGTACTTCTCTCGCACACCATTTAGATACGGACTACCAACCATTAAAATCCACAGCCAAATCAACACTGGCGTGGTGACGGCCACGAACCATTGGGCTTTAATTCGCTGGCATGATTGTCCGAGGCAAGGACATGAGCCGCCGGCATGGGTTGCGCGGTCGGCCTATGCTCCCAAGGCCTGTGCTATGTTCTTCACACGGTGTGTTAGTCGTGCGAGTCGTGCCTGTTGGACCTTACTCTTGGCTTTTGTGTTGCCGCACCATCCGTTACTCCGTTGCTGCATGTGCAGACCAAGTCCTTGGGGGTAAGCATGTTGTAGGCGTTCTTCATGTAGCTCCTTGAGTCGTTCTTCACCCCGCCTTTGCCTTTGTGCTTCATGCGGTCATCCCAGCTGAACGTAATCACACCAGCACGGCATCCCATGTGTGCATGGTTCTACTGCCGCACACGTAATCACACACCGACACACAACCCGGAAACCAACGAAACAAGGACGCAACCACAAACTGGCCATTAAGTAATAGTCACCGGGGCGCTTTCCCAAGCAAAACTTGCGGCTTGGGCTTCAGCATTCAAAATCCTGCCACATGCGCATGACCCTAGAGGCGAGGCAGAGCCATTGGTGTGTTTCGACCGCAGCGGCCATTGGTGAGACTGAAAGGGAAACAGCGCACAACAAGGACTTTCATGGTTGAGTATGGTTATTTGTTGCGCTGTTGACCGTGGTTTGCAACGCGCATTTGTGGGTTGTGTTTTGGAGCATGGTTGCCTGGGTTGTGACATGTTCTGACTGATTCCCTGCGATGTCAGGTGAAACTTGAACGGTCGGCCCCGGCAAAGCATGCCACAATAATTTCACGACATTTGTTCTTTGCGGATACCTGGGTGGACGTTGGACAACGAGCCAGGCAACAACAAGTGCTGGAAGCAACTCGCCCTGTCCCTTGTGACACCGGTCGCCGGCACCATTCCGTGCACCATGCAACATGCGATGAGCCACTCTGCAGGACCTGCGCGTGGCAAGCTTGCAGATTGCTAAATTGATATTTTACATGGTATATATATATATATGTTAGGATAGGTGAGGATTGAGATGGGTTAATTGTAATTGATAGATGAGATCATGGAAATTCTATATTCTTGGGTTGAAGCCGAAAGGAGGCTCTGGCAAAAAAATAGTTCCTTTTTATAATATTTATGAATTTATGGTATTTGTTGGATATATATATATATAGACAGCAATATTAAAAGATAAACATTTAGCAGTTCAAACAAACCTCCCCGCAACCCCAGCACCAGGCTGTCGCGCCGTTTCTGCCCGCATGCGCACGTTCGATCTGCAACACCGAAACGAGCGCGTTACACTCCATTCCTTGCTCTGGTGGCAGGCATGCAGACCTATGCTGCCCATGAACATGATAAGGACTCTCAATGAAGGCGTATCCTCTCGACATGACCCGGGCCATCGTGCTGGGTGGCCCTGGGCGTCATGATCTCTCACTTCGCACCGCGGCCGCTCTCAGCTATAAGCAAGCCCCACCTTACTAACTGTCCCTTTCCCCTGCCGACTTCCAGTAAATACTACTTTAAAGGTGCCCACAAGGTTGGCAAGAAAAGAAGACTAATCCATGTCTGGCATCCCGGATGAAAGGCGGACGTCTGCCTTTCCAATGCTGCCCTTCATGGTCTTAAGTCTGAAGGGTTGCCCGAAACTAAACCACGGAAACAGGCAATGTCTCATTAAACGACACGTCAAGATTTGACAATCTCATAAGGGGTACCCACCCCTTCAATGCCACCCCTAACAAAGCAAAAAGAAAACCTCATGCAAAGGGACGTGGAACATGAGCATGCAGCTGGGGCACTGCGATATGGTACTCGCCAGCTGCGCTGATGTTGCATGAGCTCCAGCATTTTGAGCTCCAGCATTTTGAGCTCCAGCATTTTGATTCTCCTTAGAGCTCTGCGAGCTAGCAACTGACTTCCTGAGTGGATGCATAAAAAAGCCGAATGTCTTGTTTCCACTAATTACAATGGTCCCAAAAGGATGCAGCCCAGAAACTCAAACACTGAGTCTTGAACAAAGCCAACAACTCACTATTCTCAGATGGCTGTCCTGTGGCTGAGGATCTCACGGCATGAAGCATGATCCACTTTGAATCCGGAATGCCTTGTGCAACTCATAGTAGGCGTTCCTGGGCACATGTGGGGTGATGAGGAGCCTAACTTGCGTCTGGTTTGGATAAGCATGAGATGACCAGCGTCACCTCTCGAACAAACATCAAATTGCTCACCTACCTGAAGTCAGGGTCCTTCTGGAGGCTACTTCACCCAAGCGTGAGATCTTTCCCACTACTGGTTTCTGAGTGAAAAAGGGCCAACAGCCCTGATCCAAGGGAGGAACCTTCTACTCCGTGCGCATGCCTGCTCGCAGCCGACCTTTGGCAGCAAGTTGCCTCATTCAATTGCGGGGTGACCCTTTCCACCCTGTTCTTGTGTAGCCAAACACGAGCAAGCAAATATCCAGCTCACGCCGACTGGAACCACAAGAACTCAAGATACTGAAAAGGATCTTCAGGTTATCTCGCCTCACACCAAAAGCCTCGCCAAACTCGGGCGTGCCGGGAACACGATGTGGCTGGTGGTAAGGGACGCCCCGCTTGAAATAACCAAAGAATTCTTCGTTCCGGCGCGCTGCTGTTTGACTAGGCGAGCGAGCTCGCTGCATCCCCTTAGGGCCAGGTGAAACAAGGAGCTCGGGCGACGGCCCGCTCTGCTCTAGGACGCTGTGTCACGGGCTCCTATATTTCCCTACGAACACAACTTAAGAGAACCCCGAAAGATCCTCGGGAATCGCCTAACAACGGTCCACAAAGCGTTTTGCAAACATGTGCAAACTGGCTGCTGCGTTTGTGGGAAATATAGCGGCCTTTGCTACACGCACTCCAGCAAGCTATCAATCATTTGCTGTCGCCGGATCGCCCGCATCTTCAGGTGGTACAGCGCGAACACGACGGCCAATGGCAAAAGGATCAAGACCATGGACACTAGAGGAAGGTTCCAGTACCACTTTCCAGAAGGCATCTCTTTGGATGGGGCTGATTTCACTGGCGCCTCTCTGTTGTAGTCTCCTGCCCAAGGGCTTGGCATCTGAATTCCGCCGAACACGGCCAATGGGATGAAAGCGAGCATGGGAAGGAAGTAGCAGGTCAGAACCAGGCAAAGCACGCGGACGCCCACCCATTGTGGCATGCCCTTTGTTCGGCTGTTCCTTGGTTGGATCGGTGTTTGGGATGTGTGTGCGTACGCGCCGGGTGAGGCCAGGCGGACACACCATTGCTCAACAAGGTGAACAGGTTGCAGCCTTTATTTGGAGTCTTGCGTTTGAAACGATTGCACCCTTCCATTTTCACTCATACATGCTGTATTTGCCCTTTGCTTGACATCAGCTATGATTAGTCAGGCCAGCATGGACAAGCATGTCATTACAGCGGGACACCGAGTGATTCGGCTCAAGCCCGAACAGTTAATGCAGGGCTTAGTAAGTTGCTGGCCCCATGGAGATAGACAGAGTGAGGCAGTACAGTTTTCAGCAGATGGAGTGGGAGGATGAAGTGCCCAGATTTACCTTGTGGCAGCGAAACATTGTCTTCTCACACCTGACAGCTTCAAAGGGCAACTTGCACGGTCAAAGCTCAAAACGAAGGTCGGCACAGCCAAGCCGCATACCAAAGCCCAGCCCGCCAAATCCAAGCTGAGCATCTGAGAGATGATCGCACTCACCCTCTTCTCATCGCTCGCTGGTCACCTCATGGCCCCGTGCTATGAGATCTGTTGCGAGCTTTCTGGCTTGGTCAACTCCAGCTTTCGCGTAAGTCAAAGCAAACGCCTCGACCAGCACCTTCCGCAAGCCCATCGGTCTTGCGCGATTGCTTGACAAGCACGTTGACATCTGCTGACATCTGCTGATCCTCACGCACCACGGTTCCCAGCAGCCCCCCTTGGGAAGCTGCCAGGAAGACCTAAGCTACACCCATCAATGATCACTGATCCCTGCGCACAGCAGGTGTTTGTTGTGCTGCCTAATTGATGCCAACATGCTTCTAGTGCGGTGACAACCTGCTAGCAGCTCTCCTTGGCAAGGTGAACGGCTGCGGGCTTACTGGCTTCGATTTGGATGCGCTCCCGTGCAGGCACGCTTCATTCAAAGTACAAAGCATCCTTAGATTCGCTTGCAAAAATGCGTAAACCAGTAAGAACAACTTAGGCACCCAAGTTAGTTGTACGAGTCGCCCACAGGCGTTTGTAAGGTCAGGCCAGACCAAAGGCAAACCACCGGGGTTGTTTGCAACCTGGTTGCAAGCAACAAAAACTCTGATTCCGATTTGGCAGCCAAATGGGACACCTCTGGAACAAATGGCGGGTTGCTCTTCCCTTTCAAGGAGTCAAGGACAAGCCTCAAAAAACCCCTGGCAATAGCCAAACCCAAAGGCCCAAGTTCGCCTCTCACGCCGCCACTGTGAGCACCTGGGATGGGCTTCAAATGGGCCTCAAAGAGGTGCAAGTTCTAACCGGCGAAATTCTTTCAGGGCAAGAGTCCGATTTAACAACCGCGTCTGGTCAAAAGAAACGATTGAAGTCAGTCGTCAGGAAGATACAAACTCTTTGACTTATGGACGGGCGGTCCAGAAAGTCGCCGCCCCAGCCTTGTTGCCCTCGATGCCCTCGGAGGCCAGACGCTGGTTGCGCTCCACCTGACTCTGGCCACTTCCCCTCAAAGCACGTGGGTTGTTAAAGGCAGGAATTGAAAGAGCCGTCAAACATGGGACAACTGCAGTTGAAAACCACGGCGCAGCTAGCAATGGGGCCAGTTCGGCCTCGTGTTGTCCAAGTGTGGATGTGTTGTGTCTGATGTCGTTCGGAATCACCATGCAATTTCTTCCAAACAGGGTGGAAGCTCATGGATGAAGGAATTGCGCAGCCCTGCAATCCCTCTGCAACGTGGGACTCTTCTGCACGTTGGCTTTCAGGGGCAAAACTGCTGGTGACAATGATGAGATATAGGGCAATCAGTGGGAGTGTTTCTGCCACGAAAAGCAGCAAGCGCAAAATTCTGGAAAAAGTTGGTTGCGATAAGGAAGCGGGAGATGTGATGCGGCTATCAGTTTTCGCTCCGTCTCAGTTTGCAGGGGTGAGGTTCGGCCGTCGTAAATCTTATACAGTACTTGATTTGGCAGGCAGTGCGATCTGTGCGTTGTCGGGTCTGAACTCTGAACAACCGACAAGTCAACCCACGATCAAACGCGTATGCCCTGGGATGCGCCGCTATGTGAACCACCCGGATTGCGGAACATGAGGGCGCAGCCTTTGGGATGGAACCCTGTTGGCCCTGCCGTTCCACTTGCCAAAGTTATGATATTTGCTCTTGAAAGAGAGGAAATGCCCCCCTCAACAGCTCACAATCAGCCTCACTGCCCCAAACTCCAACGGGTGCAACATCGGTGCGCGGCCTGCCGGCGATATTGCTGCAGTTCTTCCACCCTGGCAGCGAAACATGGCGGCACAAAGCCCCCAAGGACAAAACTTGCTGTTCCTTAGCTCAGCCTCCGCACCCAGGGTATTATACACCCCGGTGATTGCTTTCCCCAAGGAGAAACGCCTTGGGGCAATCAGAGGGGGAACCCTGCCCCCAATCAAAGGCCTTTGCTCCACCATGCCGTCGATGCTGCTCTCCGGATACTTGTAGAGCTCCTCTTGAACCTTCCAACTGCAAAAACAAACACAGGGTCCTTTGCCGTGGAACGCGACAAGGGGGGTTCCGCAAAGGGGTGGTTCCTCGAAAAATTACGCTTCTTTGGCTGCGTCTTAATCTGCAGGGGAGTAGGTCAAGCCGTCCGGCTTGGAATCATCAAGTGACCTCTTTGAGCCTAGTAATCTTCTAGCAGGGTCTAGCAAGCTATGCCCTGCCCAACTTACATGTCCACCAACCACTTTTGAAGGTTTCCCTTCTGGTAACATAGCTACATGACCACTGCCACCCAGCGCTGGTGGCTTGGCCGTTTTTTCCGCTCTCTGAACTCCACCTGCCCGCAGCGACGCGCCACCTTCTGCAGCCGCCGGTCAGCACGCAGCTCCTGGACGAATCAGCCGAAGCGCCGGGTTAGGCATGCGAGCCTGAAACAATCTCCATGGCGTTGGTTGACTTGCATCCAACTGACCTGCCCAAGGCAACCAAAGACCGCAGAAATTCGCAGCCTTCAAGGTGGGACGCCAACTGCCAGTCAACTGCTAACCTGATTCGGCAAGACCCGAAACCACTCCTCGCCAAAGCTTCTTAAAGAAGCCACCCAAACACAGGGTGTTTTTACGCCCCTTGAAGGATGCACCTAAAACTCCCGAAGCAGCCAGCAAAAGGATCTTGACATTGGCCAATCTTGAAACCAGAGCGTGGTGGCATAGCAATAGCCCCAGGATGGTCACTCTGCCACGAACTCCAGCCATGGCGCCTCGGAGGCCCAGCGCAGCGCCTCCTCCTCCCGCGGCAGCGCCCGGCGCAGCACGGCACGGCTCCCGCGGAGCCGCGGCGACGCGAAGCGCAGCGCCGGGCCGTTGGCCACGGCGCGCAGGACCAGCGCCTCGTCGTCGCCTGGGGCCGTTTCTAAGTAACTAAATGAAACCCCAAACAGTGTTCCACGTTTTGACTGCCCCTTAGCGGACTTAAGCCCTGGGTTTAAGCTTATCTTTGGGCACTCAAACATTGGAATCCCGACCCCAGAACAGGTGGTTGGCTCCAAGCGGTCTGTTGAACACTTCTAAAAGCGGCCATCCAAGTATGCCCATGCGTTTTGGTTCCATGCAAACACTTTGCCATGGCAGGGTCTGCAGCCGGCCTGTGTCCCTTGTCTGCCTGCCAGGTTTGCGCAGCTAGGTCGTCTTTAGCCACCCTGCTATGAGCCCACAAACTGCCATTTGCTCAAAGCCCAGGTACCTGCTACGGAGGAACTCTTGCACACCGGCTTAGACTTCACTACATAACTCGAGCCCACTTTAGGCGCCCTTCGGCTATTGAAAAGAGAGGACTTGCATTTGGTCCGAGCAGGCACAATGCGTCAGCACCACATCGGGTCTTCGCAACATGAAATGTTGCCCCCTTGCCACAGGATCTTATGCATGTCTCTGCGTCTGCCTTCGTCTTGTCAGCGCAGCTGGTGCGGGCGTTACCGGCACAAATCAGGCCGAAGGCCCGCTAGCTCCCACAAGCGGATTGACAAGAACTTGCGAAGATTGCGTCATTGCGTGTGCAGGACAAGGTTTGTTTGCACATAATGTGGTGGCTCTCTGGGGAAGGGCATGCGCAAGGAACCACAACGAAGACACCAAACAAAAGCGAAGCGACATGAGCGCTCTCGCACAAAAAGAATCAAACATGCTCCTCCCTGCACTCGGAAATCTGAAAAGGGTGAGTAGATATCATCATTGGCCACAATTCACACCGACTTCCTTAATTTGCTCCAGCTTGCGCAGCTCGTCGCTTGCATGCTCCAGCGCCATGGCGGATTCATCGATTGCGGCCAGGACCACCTAGTCGCATGCCGGCACAGCCCAGAAGGCACGGTGAGGGGGAAATATTCCCTTGCAGACTTACGCGGCACCTAAAAAGCCATCAGTTCTAGAGGAACGGCTTTTGGGCACCCCATTGCCAGGCACAGAGTTGGCACTGCCATGCCATGTATTTCATACCATGTGACTGGTGCCACCATCCAGGAGAAGGAACGTCTGCAACTGCGTGACCGGCATTCAAGTAGAATGCACAGTGAAAGAAGCCCTGCTTGACTGGCTACCTTGGTAATCCCGAAGTTCATTGTGCCCGCCCATGGCCTCCCGGTCTGCGCGTAGCTCCTGAGAGGCGAAGGCCAAAGCCTCGCCACTCTGCTGGACTGCGGCGAGGACCACCTCGCGGCGGGCGGCTCTCGCTAGGGTCTTGCCGAAACCTCCAAACTACAAATGGGTAAACTCCGGCAAAGGAATTGCTTGGCTGCCCAGTTGAGAACTCGTCAAAATGGGAGATGGCTGGCTTCCAATGTAAGCATCCTCCAAAATGGCCCAAAACTGGCCTTGGCCTTTTGTATGGTTGCAAAGCTGTGAATACAGCAAGGTTCTCAATGCACGTGCAATGAAGCGTCGCCCGCCAATTCCCAATTCATGAGAAGCAATCCCCTGTCGACCTGTGGCAGGAGTCCATGAGAGCTCACTTGGGTTTGCTTCAGAAAAAGTATAGAAATGCCAATGGTACTTGACTAGAATCAAACTGAAAGCTGTGGAATCATGTCATCTCTAAATTGACGCAAGAGGACACCCCTGCTGGCGATACCACCATCCCAATCTCTCAGAGCAGGTGGAGGGGGGGGTGCACCAAGTTTGCCTTTTTGAGGGGGATAAGGGTCCCCCCACGTGGCTGATTCCATCTCGCCTTTTCTTGGGATCAGCCATATGAGCCATATCAGGCCATGCTCAAAATTCGACGTGGATACAAACAATTTGCAACATCCACGGAGAACAAATAACAATTTTGGAAGCTCGGCCAGGTGAAGGGGGTGCGAACCTTGTGGGCGCTTAGGCCCTTATTGGTCGCAGCACAATAAGAACCCTCCGGCATCCTCTGACCCGCCTCCCTGTCCTCTTGCAACCTGCCAGCGAAGGACAAAGCGGCCCCGTCGCGGTGCACAGCTGAGAGCACTAGGTCGCGGTCCGCCTGGCTCGGAGCGGGTCCATCAAAAGCGGCACAACAGGACCCTGCCGCTTTCCCATTTGAACCCTTAAAAGAAGGGCTCCCATTTGGACATACCCATGTACTATGTTAATCATGGAATCCAATTTGTTCATGAAACCTGAACATGTTTGGACCCCCAACCTGTTTTTAGGATCAACATGCCAAGGCAAACAGAGGTTAAACAAAAAACAGGAAAAAACAAAACGAGGTTGAAAAAACCGGCTTTGGGCTTGGCCCCCCTCCAGCGGGATCGGAAACACTTTCGAGTTTCGCCTGCAGTTCCTGAGCGGCGCATTGCAGCGCCCATCCGCCGAACTGGGCCACGCGCGCCCCGCACTCCCAGATCCTGGCAGGGGCGTGGCAAGGCGTGGCGCTGACGGTTTCAACTGCCCAGACAGGAGGTTATAAATCGTGACCGCGGTGGCTTCGGGGCAGTGGGAACCATCGTGAGTTCAAGCACCTAGGCTTGCCGTGAACAGTTGCCACCCCAGCCTCAAAGTGAGGGAAGGTTTGGGAGTATACAAATGTGTGTATATATAAATATATATATATATATATATTATACGTGTGTGTGTGTGTCCAGCTGGCCAGATGATTGAAATCAGAAACCCGTATGCAGTTTCTTCCCCCCATCTCCAGCCGGTTCTCTCAATGGCCGCAGCAACAATCTCGCGGTCACCCCGCAGCTCGGGCATGGCATAGGTCAAGGCATACCCGTTCTGCTGCACCGCCCGCCTCGGTTCCGGTTGGCTGCGCGCAGCCCGACAAACCCGGACATCTTCTCCAGGGCTTTGATCCCAAGGAATACGCAACGATACAAATACCTCCAACTTGCGGCAACTTGCGGCAACGTCCACGCCAAATCCTCGTGCAAACCACCCTCCCCAAGAGCTTTCAGGCAAGCGGCAGGACAAAGTCACGGTCACCACGCAGCTGCAAAGCAGCAAACTGAAAGGCGTTGCCGTCTTGCTCCACTGCTGTCAGAACCACCTGGCAACATAGCCCCTGCCACGCCAGCCCGGCAAAACGTGCAACATGACAGTGACTCTCCTGCTGAATGTCTTTTAAAGGAGGACCCTTAAGAAGGGAGAGAAAGGGAGCCAAGGGTTCTTTCACCTCTGCGACACGCCGCTCGCTTGGCCGATCACTCCTCCACGTCCGCCCGCAGCGACTCACAGGCGGACTCCAGCGCCAGCCCGTGCCGCGCTACCGCAGCCAGCACCACCTCGCGGTCCGCCTGGGGAGGGGGGAGTGGGAGGTTGGGATGGTGCACGGGTGGGCGATAGCCTCTTTTTGAGGCTGCTTTGGGGGGGAACCTAAGGGCCACCTGTTGGACTTACGATTCAGCCCAAGGAAATCATTGCTGGGTTGTGACCCTTTTTGGGATTGTGCATGCGGAGAAGCACAGGAAAAGACAGGAAAGCCCAAGGAAAACATCTCGCTTCAGAGCAGGCAGGGTCACCATTTTGAGACATGACATACTCTGTGCCACCTCCAACACCCCGTCGGCCGCAGCTTCAAGTGAAAGGTGAGGGTTGGCGCCGAGATAGACTGGTCTTAGCTCCTGTTTGGCAGTCGGTAGCCCTGTTGGAGTTGTTTCACAAGGAGAGATGATGGGAAATCACTCTGCGCGTTAAGTTAAAGAGGCAACTCCAAGGAGAATGCCAAGGCCTGAAGCGAGGCGCAGGCGCAGGCAAGGGCGAAGCCACACCTGCCGCACCCCATTCACACAGCTCGCTTTGGATGAGGCATGCTCCGTACACGCGCACATGAAACCTCAAACGCTCAGCCGCTCAGCTGCATAGACACAGATCTCGTTTTTAAACACTCGCTTGGGTTTGTCCTCAGATACTGTGGGGAACCCCAAACCAACCCCAAATCGGTGTTTTCTACTGTGCCCCTGCAACCCTCCAAAAACACCCCAGAGAAACTGCGTCCCAGGCCTTCGCACTGCCTCCAGCACCACTGACTGGTCTGCTAGGAGATTGGGAGAAGCCCACTGCAAAGCATCGTCATCCACTTTGACCGCAGCCATCAGCACTTCCCGGTCCTCCCTGCAGGGCACTGCATGAAAATGCCAGAGAAAAACTCACTGCACATTAGCACCAGAAAATGACGATAACATTTACCAAAAGGGGAGATATAGCAAACCCATCCTAAATAAAAACACGCTTCGCATTCAAAGAACTTTGTCTTTTGGGTGTGTGTGTGTGTGTGTGCGCGGGTGCGTCTGGGTGAGCGACAGCAAGTTTTCAGCTCTCAGGCTGTCCTGCGCTCATTTGAGTGCCTCCTTGGCCCGAAACACGACTCTGTTGCATGTCCTTTTGGAAACGCAGGCAGCGCTGTGACGCAATAGTAGAAACAGCGGCGAATTCTCCGATGCCCATGAACGGCCAACCCTGAACATGGAGGCAGGCCGCGCCCAATTCGGCAAACAACCATGAAACCATCTGCTCACGGGAATCATCAGGACTTGCCAGCCTGAAGAGAAAAAAGGGGCCCAAGACAGGGACCCTCGCAGGCTTTCGGTCGCGAGTCGCAACGCGACCAGGTCTCTAGGAGCCCCCCCCTTTCTTGCCAGAGATTTGTCTTTCCAAACGAAAGACATCCAAGTACCTGCAGGAAGGGAAGGCTGGCTATTGAAAAGCGCGATGCTCAAAATGGACTCAACCCCAGGCACCAGCCCCACTTTGCATCGCCTTATGAGCTCCGGCGCCTTGGAGAGGCTCTCCGCCTCACACGGCCGTAGGCTGCCCTCGTCTTAAGCCCAGCCCAGGAACCTGATAGCCAAAAGGAGTGAAACAAGAATTTACCCTCAGTCCACTTGGGCAAGTCTCTACGTTTGAGGCTCTTGTTTTCAAACCAATGGGTTTAAAGTTTAAAAGTTCGCCATGTTGAAGTTGAGGGCCATTACCCGGCAGCCAGGACGAAACGGATAAACTGGAAGGCCATGCCCAGCTCTCACTCTTCGCCTGTGCCACGCGCTGCAGCCACTCCGCCTGCTCCTTTGGCCGGCGCAGCAGCGTCAGCTGCAGCTCTTGATGCGCGGGCGCGTCCTGAGAGCTATGTTGGCCAACATGCATGGCCGCCTGCACAGAATAGAAGCAAACGACTGGGTGCTCACAACTTGGGAGGGTTGTGCTATGGGCACTTTTTGTATTTTGCAGCCAGGAACCTTGAGCAACCAATGGTGGTTGCAACATGGACCCTACAGTTGAACGAAAGTGGCAGTCACAACTTCCAAGTTGGGCTTCATCGCCGTGCCAACGTTCACCCCGGCGCCAGTGTCCACCCCGAGCTTCGGCTCCTTGAGTGACTCTTCGACCTCCCGCCCGCCCCAGAGCAGGCGCTGCTCCGCAGAGCAGATGCCGGTGGCAGCGGCCACGCGGTCCTTCACCGCCTGGACCAGTTGGCCGGTGGCTTTCCCGAGTCTTTGCAGGGCTTCACCCATAAGATTAGGGTTGGGACCTGCAAAACCTGCACCAAGCGGACTCATGACCCCAATAGTTGGGGGTCCCCATCCAAAATTATAGCCATATGATGCCACATGGCCTGCAACAAATGAAACTATCATTTGGCTTGCTTTTTGGAAGCTAGACGGTATGGTTTATATCATAGGCTATTTACCGCCCAAATGAACAAGTTGAGGGGAAACTCTTAAAGTGACCATGAAACCGTAGTGCTTGATCCTTCTGGAAAGGGAAAAAGCAGGACCCCAGGTGGTGGGCGAAACCTGGCCAAACGGCCGCAGGATGTTGGCGCTGATGGTGCGAATTTGAGGATGCGGCTCAACAAGAAGATCATTGCCAAAATGAAGCCTCAACCGGCTCGTCGGCGCTGGCAGCAACTCTGCACAGCACCTTGCCGCTGAGGCAGCGCACCAATACCTGAGCTGCTCATTAGTGCATTCTGAGGTGCATTGGCATCCGTCTGTCGCACGTTGGTGAAAGTAACACGGTCACGTTCTATTTTAACATGTATTCAATTTCTAGTTTTGCTGAGCAATCGATGGCGTACCGCTTGTTCTTGGAGACATCCAAGAAGGGCGATTGCGAACAATTGTGCAACTGATTCACTGATTGGTTGTTGCAAAACACTGTGGCCAATGCTGCCGAGTAGGAGTACATGCCAGTCTAGCCTGGAGGGAAACAAGAAGCAGAAGAACCGGCCTCAATACTCGACCAAGGCCGCGCAACATGTTGGGACAAAGACGACTCGTGCCAAAATCAGCCCCAAAGGAGTGCCTTGCCTCGCCTCCTCCCCCTCACTATCCCTCACTCACCCCCACTCGCCTGAAGATCTTGCATGGCTGCGGCACCATGCACTATGTGACACGGGTTGGCTGGACTTTGCGCCCATGGCCGGTGGCTGATGGGAGGTGATGTCTGATGCTCATCAGGCTTCAGGACTATTCCTCTTCACGAGCTTGGACGGCATGGAATCTGGGTGGCGTGTCAGGGTTCAACAGCCTGAACGGGGGGATGTCCGAGAAAGGCAGCCTTTTGACTCACATGCACGCATTGCGGGTCTTGTTTTCTACTGTCCAGTGGTAGCCTGTCTTGAGCCCGCAGAGACGGCAAGAGTTGGCCTCACAGCCCGGCGCTTCGACCCCCTCGGTCCGCGCACGTGCCTGGTCCGCATCTGTCCTTTTGCCTTTGTGGGATGGCCTCCGGCTCTGGACAGTCTGAGGCTTCGAGCATTTTGGCCAACAGCCCCGCAATGCCTCTCGTTCCGACCAAGCAATGAAAACCACACACCCATATGTGCAATATGCGCAATGGTCAAGACTCTGCGTGGATCATGATTGGGGTGGTCTAAACTTCTAAACCTCACTACAAGGGTCCATGACCATCCCCACCAACACCAAGTAGTAGGCTTGGCATGGGTGCCACTTCATCCCTCTGCTGCAGATGCCTCATTCAACGGGCAAATGTTCGAACAAAGACCTTCACTTGGACCAAAATTACTAACCCAGTGCCTGGCTCCCAATTCCTGACTTTCTATCGCCTGGAAGGTTTCCGGCTGAGTGCGCCGCGAGGGATCCGGGAAGAGGTGCTGAACATACTCTCTCCAGGCTCGGTCACTTGCCTCGCAGCGCTTGAGCCACTTCCCCAAATTTGCTGGGGAAGGACCAATGGAAAGGCAGCGAGGGATCATGCACAAACCATTGACATGAACACCCTCCCTAAAAACAAGTATCAAGCCAGGATCCAACAGTGCCCCTTGAAACGACTGTGCTATGCTGAGCGTCACATGTGGCTTGCCTGGCCACTGGCAGGGAGGCCAATGCCAGCAACTGAGTCCTCACGCGGTTCAAAACGCCATCTGAGGTTGCAGCAAATTGGATCTCGAAAGCCGCAACACCTATGTAGGTCTCCGATGCCCACTGTTCTGCGCTGCTCTGTTTTATGTTGACGAGCCGTGAATCCTAGCAACCTCGCGCAGCTTCTTTTGCTTTTCAGGATGAAGTGCAGGTCTTACCAGGCAGCGAACCCGCGGGCGACAACCCCCCCCTTGACAACCAGCCGTCCTTGCCAGCTGCTACACAGATGGGCTTGGAATGGTCCAGCTGCTCGGGCAGGCCACCTGGCACGGGACTCTGGCGATGGAGGGCCTCTGCAATGTGTTTTTTGAGGGGTCCCTCTTTAGGGGTGGTTTTTAAAACCGTGGCAAAGGACTGCCTCAGAAAGAGGCGTGGCTGTTGCAAGCCCAAGTTAGAAAGGTGGAGCATGAGCTTCTTTTCGATCCTAGCTCGGTTGGAAAAAAAACTGAACTATTAACTTTCACTGGAGCAGAGCAATTCAGCAACAAACATGCGGCAAATTGAATGGTTGGCTTCCGTGGGGGTCCCCTCAAAATTAGTCACATCGTTCAACTGGCAAACAGCATAGCCGTTAGCCCCAGGTCCATTTATGCCTTCCCACGAAGTGATATGAAGCAATCATTCCTTTGTGTTTCTGCAACAGCTGGCTACAAGCTGAAATGCACGCCGTTGGCTCCAGCCTGCTATGAGAAGCCATCGGGAACATAAAATACTAAATGCAATAATCAAATCATCACAGCCTCGTGCAGGAAAAACAAACAAGCAGCATACAGCCTATGAGCCTAAGCTCGTTGCAGAAAAGATTACACAAAACAAAAACATCAGATCGTCTAGCAAAAAGCGCTTGATGTGTTCTAGCCCGAGCGAGGCGGTGTTGACTAATCTGAACGTTTGTTTTTGTAGTTTGTAACGTGATGTATTTATCAACCATGTAAAACCCCAATGCATGAATGTCTCACTTGCGCAGTCTCAGCATTACGACTGCGTATGGCTCAAGGAAAAAGCGCGCTGAGTACAGGGTTCATTTGTGACCCTTCCCGGTTGTTTAACCTGTTCTATAGGTTATCAGCCGTAAGCGGCTCTTTGTACAGAGTTGTACGCCATGGATGGCGATCCTGGACTACCCCATACCGAGGTGCGTCCCACACCTGATGAGCCCGCAGGCGATGAAGACGCCTCGCAATATGAACCGACTAGTCGAGCAAACTCCCAAGTGGCCAGGGAGCTCATTAGGAAGGGACAGGCACTGAGCAGTCAGGGCCCCGAATCACTTCGATCTCGGAGTGACCGTGGGAGGACTGGGCGGTCTGGCGCTCGATCTCCTTCACCTGTTGGATCAGATCGGCATCGGCATGGTGACATCGTCATGTACGACCCCCAGACCGATCTCGCAAGGGGAAACCCTATGCCACAGTCCATGAATCAGTTCAACCAACATGTTGCAAACGTCCACCTCGATCCTTCAATGACGATCAACCAGGACGTGACGAACTATCAGCAGATCAACGCTACCCAGAACAATGCCCAATTCAACCAGTTCGTGAATCAGGACACCGGTCCCATGGTCGCCCAGATGGCGGAGGCAAGGCATGGTGAGATTATTGCCGGACTTCAAAGCCAATCGGAGGCCATGAGACGCGAGATTCAAATGAATGCGGAGCAGCGTGTGAACACCATGAAATCGGAAAGAGAAGCCGAGATGAAGTACCAAAACGCCATGAACACGATCAGCGAGCAGGAGAAGCAGATCAGGGAGCTAAGGGCTATGGTCGAGCAGATGATGCAGAATCAACAGCAACCGCCTGCTCAACCTGCTCCAGCCCCTGCGCCTCCCGTTCAGCAGGCACCAGCTACCCCCTTGGCTATCCCGACCGTTCCTTTGGCTGCATCTCCACCCGGACTTTCGAATGCTTCCTCGCACAGTTGGACGAAGGTCGGGAGTGACCCCTACGGCAAAGACGGATCCGTTCCCGCCGGGGCCGTGGACGATGCTGCTACCGGAGACGGTTGGCCTTGCGATGATGGTGATGGTGGAAATGACAAGGACAAGAAAAAGAAGAAGAAGAAAAAGAAGAAGAAAAAGAAGAAGGACCGTAGCCGACGCCGGCGACGAGATCCATCATCTTCTCCCTCGTCATCTTCGTCATCAACTTCTACTGCATCGAATGAATCCTTTCGACGAAAGCTACTGAAGCACTTAGGTAATTCGAGCGATCCGACGGCGGAACGCGTCCGTGTAAAGAAGGGTGACAGAATTCAGATTCCCCGATTCCCGAAGCCCGAACAGTACCGTAATTGGAGGATCAAAGTTAGGGATGCTGTTGTTGCTACTTCCGACCAACCCGAAAAGGCATTTGAGTGGATTGAGGCAACTTGGATCCCAGGTCAAACTGTTGAAGTCCTTCGTGATTCAGGAATGTTTGTCCATCTTGATGCAAAGCTGGCATCGGCGTTGACGAATATCTTGGAGGGCGACCTCGCGCGGCAAGTCGACATTTTCAAAGAACAAGAAGCAAAGGAGAAACGCTACGCGAGGGGGCGCCAAATTCTTTTGATGGTTCACAAGCACTTCAGCACGAACATCAAACATGGTGCAATTTACGACTTTGAGGACTTGCTCTCTGTCCAGCTCATCAACGAGGACCTCAAGAACTTCATGACAAGATGGGACACGGTCATCGCTGGAATGGGCAATGAGCAGAATGAGAAGACCCTTGAAGCGCTGTTCCACCGCCAGATTCGAAAGTTTCGGCCTCTCAGTCATGATCTCAATGAGTATGAGCGGGCTGAGGAAGGGACGGAAAAGCACTCCTATAAATTCTTGATTGACGCATCGAGGAATTATTTGGAGCGCAAGAGGCTTGTTCACATGCGGGATGCTATGTCAAGCAACACAACGGGACGTGGCAGGACTCCATCGAACAACCCTGCAGTTCCTGGAATCCCCAAGGGTGTATGTGTGAAATTTCAAACTGGCCAGTGCACCTATGGTTCAGACTGCCGATTCGAACATGTTAAGGCACCGAAAGGTAAGGGGAAAGGCAAGAAGGGCGGATCTAGATCCCAGACGCCAAGGAAGTATCGTTCGCAGAGTCCCCCTGGTTCGAAGCCCCAGGTGTGCAAGTTCTTTAAAGCGAACAGATGCGAGAGAGGGAAAGATTGCCCATGGCAGCACCCCGCAACTTCCAAGGCAGCTCCAGCCCCAAAGGCCGAGAAGACCGCTAGTGGAGACACCCCCAAGACATCGCCGAGAGAGAAAAAGAAGAAGAAGAAGGGTAGCAGGCCTTCTTCTCAAGATTCGAAAGATTCGAAGGGTTCTCAGTCCCTCAAGTCTCCGCGATCGTCAAAAGGCAGCAGTGCTGCGGTGTGCCTCCTCCAGGCGATGGTGTGCGCCGCGACCCTCGACTCGGTCGCCTCGCATCCTTGCTTGCCTAGTGTGACTCACGATGTTTTCCAGAGTATGCCATGTATCAAGAAGTGCGTGCAATTCTCTGATTACCCATCTATTTCGAACTATGAGACTGACGGCGAGCTTTGGCCCTACACTGCCTCGTCGAGAAGGTTTGCACACGAGTTTCCTGTTGATTATGTTCCGAAGTTCGATGAGAGAGCTGTTTCTGACGCAACTCTTATCGGCACCATGCATGAAGCTATGATGAAGGATTTGCTCAAAGGCACGAAGACTCCTTGCAAATTTCAATGCGACTCTGATTTCGGCTGTGATTCCTGCATCCCCGCAGGCCTAACGGCCGAGCCAGAGAAGCCCGAGACCTCCCCCAAAAAGGGGAAAGCTGCTGTTGCTCGTATGACAATGGATTCTTCTCACATTCCGTGGATCGCGGATACAGGAGCTTCCCAGGATTTGCTGTCGGGAACCGATGCGGAGGTGGGGTGTATTTACGAATCGTCTCAACCTCTGAAATTTTCCACAGCCAATGGGAATATTATCGGTACCAAGCAGGCCAGGGTCAAGATCCAACAGACCGATAGTGTTGTTCGGCCATATGTTCTTGACAAGGCTCCATCCGTGTTAT